AGAAAGGAGCGTCTGCTTGCGCATGTGCAGAGAGGTACAGGCAAACACATACGGAGACTGAATCTTACAAGTTCAGCATAAGGCAGGTGAGCACTTCTAAATCTATCAATAGAGGGGTTTTTGTCTCCTGGAAACATACCAATGCTCAGTAGAAACTAGCAACCACTGAATTGGCTTGGGCACACCACACGAACAAGCAGACATCACTGTATTGTATTGTTCCCTGAAATGATCTGTGAAACTGAGCACCCTTCCATTTCCTGATTGAGACATTGCAACTCAAATGTCTTGCAGGCTAACCTAACCCTAAAGGGGAAATCCTGATAACAGAAGTATTGGCCCCTTAGGGTGCAAAACCGATTCTATCAGATCTTCCTACAGTTACTCATGTTATAGTTCTTCATCCTATAGTCAGGCAACTGCAGCGGGGCAGCAACAAGAAGTGTCCTTCCCCCTCTCCCCCCACCCCCGGCTCTTAGGTACTTTGGTTTGAAAAACAGAGTTTCAATCATCTTCTTAATTTCTACGATGACTGTAATGAAATCGCAGAAAACATAAAAGATTGCTGATCTTTTATCAAAGACAAACTAGGCTTTTCTTATTTATTTGCATATTTGGCAGGCAGTGTAAATTTAAATTTCGGCCCATCCCATTCAGTCCATGTTTCTTACCAAGGAAAATGAAACGATCCTACTTGTTAGATGTCCTGGACATCTTATGTACAACATCGCTAAAACAGATGTGATTTACTTACCTATGATACTGAGGCTTCATAATGTGCATTTTGGTCAGGTTTCCATTTCCTCAAAATGTACAGAAGCATTTAATGAGATTTTTTACTTGATCACTTGTACTTCATTACATAAAATCTGCTTTGACTTGCAGCTCAGCAAGCCCACATCACGCTGATTCCTGGTGTCCGTCCGACGTGATGCCAAGCTCACTACTCTCTCAACAAAAGCATGGACCATGGAAGAATTAGGATTTTCAGTTTTACCACCACATAAGAGAAGAGAAGGGCATCCTCAAGAATGCAGGCAGTTTGGAGAATTATTACTGGAAAAGGAAATAGATAAAGCAAAACTCAGGATGCCTGGGTGGCTCAGTTGGTTCAGCATCTGCCTTCAGCTCAGGTCATGATCCCAGGGTCCTGGGATTGAGTCCCACATCAGGCTCCTTGCTCAGTGGGGAGCCTGCTTCTCTCTCTCCCTCTGTCTGCCGCTCCCCCTGCTTGTGCTTGCTTACTCTCTCTCTGACAAATAAATAAAATCTTTAAAAAAAAAAAAAGAAGAAGAAAAACTCTTACTGTATCAGACAGAAAGAAATACGTGGTTGTTTTTTATTCAATAGAGGTAACTTGCTTTTTAATTAGTACTATTGGGTTTACATTCTGCTTTTTAAAAGTCTTGCACTTATGTAGCTTAAGAACATACATGCTTGCCTGGACCCAGTTCCCTGGGGCTGGTGCTCTGCTGGGACTAGATGCCTTGGGGTCGTTCTGGTTCTTCATTTTTCTGGTCTGCATTTCCCCCTTTTCTTCACCAGGCCCTTGCACTGTTGTACCGCAGACATGGTGTTATCCCCGCTGGCTTATCCTGGGAAGGATGAGATTTGCCTGTCTGCCCACGCTCTGCAGCAAAGGCAGCTCCAGGGACGGTGTCCAGGCATCTGCCCTTGAGAGCCTCAGGAGGGCAGGTCCCTTCGTTACACAAACTTGTCCGTGTCCTTGGCATTTTTGCTGCTTCTTAATACTTTTCAGAGTGACATTCTTTCCTCTGTCCAGCTGACCCAACACACCATGCATCCCATAATTTCTGGCCCATCAGAGAAGGAAGGGATTCAAATTACTTGGGTCTGAAATTGTCTCACACGTCACCACCTCACTGGTAAATATTTACTGAGTTAAAAAAGAAATACTATTGTGACACACATCGACTCCCTGGACTCTGAAACCTCTGTAACATCAGGGGCGTCAAAGTAGGTTCGACAACTTTCAAACCTTAATTCCGAGCATGTTAATATTATAAAACACAGTCAAACAAAATTGAGGAATTCCACTAGGCAGTGGTTCTGAGCCTTGCCTGCATATTGAAATAGATATCCCAATTTTAAAATCTATTTCTAAATATATATATACACACACACACAAATATATATATATATATATTAAGATCTTATTTTTAAGTAAGCTCTATACCCAACATGGGGCTTGACCTCACAGCCCTGAGATCAAGAGTCACATGCTCTACCCACTGAGCCAGCCATGTGCCCTGCCAGCTTATTTTCTTTCAGGATTATCAATTTCCTTAGAGAATCTAGCTTCTATTTGTACAGACTCTGCTCAAAAGTTTTTCACAGCATAAACCAAGTGCTTACCTACTGAAGGGAGTGCTGACTGAAATATTTATCATTCTTATTCTGATTATCTTTATCAACAAAGTCAGTATGCTCAATGGCAAGCACAAATCCTCAGTTCAACCACCAAAGGTGAAATGGAGACTCTCGATGACATACTCTGCTTTCTGGTTAACATACCCTACCTCCTCACCTCTGCACTCCTTTGACTGGCACATTCTGCCTCCTCAGAATCCTGAGGGTCATCGGCTCGCTGGACCACTTCAACATCTGCACATGTCCCCCTACACTGACACCTGTCCCTTCCCCACACTGTTCTCAATACTCCCTCAGGCTTCATGCCCACCACTTCTAGTTGGCCTCCTGGGTTGAACGGAGCCATCCTTTGTGAACAGAGTCAAGCATTTTGAAAGCATTCGTGTTACTGCAAAACCTCCACCAGTGGTAGTTGTGATGGGATGCAGTCATGGGAGGCGCAGTGACGGCGGCAAAGGGAGTTGAGATGATGGTGGCTGCTGCGGAGGCAGCCATGACAGGCTGGGAAAATGGTGGCTGTGGCCATGGGTCTCATTGCAATGAATGGCCACAGGGCGGCTCCCACTGAGTGAACCCCACTGAAGCTGCTGCTCTTCGCTGGAGTTTTCTCTCCCCCAAAGCCCACTCTGCCTGTGTGTCTGGCAAACAGGAAGCAGCTCGGAAATTAAAATCCCAGCCCCCTAAGTGACCCTGAACAAAATGACTGATGGGGGTTAGTGTATAAATATCCCCACCCCTTGTGGGGGAAGAGTATGTTCTCCATTGTTTCCAGAGTTCCCCAGAGAGTTAAGCTGTTGCCCAGTGGTAACTTGCTCAATTGATAATGCAGCCTTGATATGCTGCTTTCCCTTCCTGTCTCACTTCCCTCTGCCCTGCCAGTGCTTTCTGAGGCCATCTCCCAAAAAGCGTTGCCTCAAAATCTGTTTCTGGGGGAACCCAACCTAAGATAGTGCATCATGCACGAAAGATTATGATTCAAGCACAGATGGCACATTAACAAAAGCCAACCCTACGCCAAGCCGTGAAAAGTCTCAACATATTTCTAAAGATTGAAACCATATAAAATATGTCCCTAATCCAATTGCAATTAGGCAAGATAACGAGAAAAATCCCCACATGTTCAGAAATTTAAAAATAGTTTTAAACTTCTAAATAATCTGGGATCAATGAAAAATGCAAAATAGAAAAGCTTGCTTTGTGGGGAATTTAAGTGTGTACATTAAAGAAAAAAAAAAGGCTAAAAATCAGTGAGCTAAACATTCACTTCAAAAAGATAGAATACAAAATTAAATCCAAAAAAGGTAATTATAAAGAAGATAATTAAGTTAAAAACAAATATACAAAGAACACCAGCAAAGCCAAAAGTAAATTCTGTGAAAAGATTAATAAATTGGTAAACCATCAAGATGGAATAAGAAAAAAAGAAAGCGGGCACAAATAACCAATGTCAGAAATGAGAAAGGGGCTCTCACTACAGATTCTGTAGGTCTTAAAAAGATTATATGAGGATATTATGAACAAATTTACAGCAATTTGAAAATTCAGATCATGTGAAAACTCCCTAAATACAATTCATCAAAACAGACAGAGGAACAGAAATGATTTTTAAGATTTACTTACTTATTTATTCATAAGAGGCAGAGGCAGGGAGCCTGATGCAGGACTCGATCCCAGGACTCTCATCTCTCTCCCCCATCCGTGCCTGTCTGCCCTCTGCCCTTTGGGACCTGCCCCTGCTGGGGAGCTGGTGATCAACCAGCCGGGCCCACAGAACATGTACTCCTGAGGAGAAACTGAGAAGCTGCCGCAGCCACTGCTGATCCCCACCCACATCCACTCAGCACTCTTCTGGGTGCTGAACGTTGCTTACTTGATCCTTGGCTACTCTCCGTTCAGGGCTCCTGTGATGGCAGGGCACGTGACCACACATGGGGCAGGCAGAAGTGCAAGACGGTCAATGCGCATGAAAACTGCCCCCAATGACAGATGGGCAGTGGGTGATCTATACCTCAACCTCCTTGCCCCTTAGATTGAGCCCATCACCCACTGTGGTAACTGGCTTGATTACGCACCTTTTATTGGCTGCCTTCCTCTCTGTCTTACCTCTCCACTCCCCTCCAAATGTTTCTGGAATCACATTCCAAATATTCTATCTGCACTCCAATTCTCAAGGTTGGATTCTGGAAGAACACAAACCGAGACAGAAGAGAAGTCCAGGACAGCAGACTCTAAGCCACACTGTTCCCAGTAATAAAGCCAGTATTTTCATTCCCACTGCCTAGTGCCCAGGTCTATCACACAACTGGCTCAAACCTCAGGAGGAAAAGAAGTGTGATATTATTGCCCCCCTAAACCTTAAGGAAACACTCAATAAAGACTCGGTAAACGCTTGAGTGGAAGCGAGAAAGAGCCTTTTCCCATGTCTGTGCGGCAGGAGATAGGAAGTGGCTGTTGGCAGAGTTAACGAGGAAAGAGGGGTCGTCTTAACCCTGGTGAGCAGGCCCTTCCTGGGCACACTGCGTGAAGCTGGGGAACAGAGGAGCGGGGTTTCCGCCCAGCCAGCTCTCCCCTCAGTTTCCCCTCAGCTGCTGAAGGCAGAAGTCAAAGTCTGGTATACAGAGTCTTTATTTATTGTGAGTCCTGCTGTCCAGAGAAGCCAGACTCCCATCCAGGCCCCTCATGACTCCACCTGGCCACTCTTCAGGCGTGGGGGCATCAAATGGCCAGTCGCTCAGGTCCAGTTTTCCTATGGTTCAAAGAGTCTTCAGGAGGCAGGAAGTGGCTTTGCCTGTGGAAAAAACACATGAACATCTACTAGCACCTATTTTGTGCCTGGCCCTGGGGCCCCTACTGAGGGAGGTTATGTAGACAGCAGAAGCTGCCCTTGCCAAGTCCAGAGTCTGGAGAGAGAGAGGGTATCGGGTGATGGCCTTGGCCATCTGCCATGTGAACACGTCTGACACAGTGAACTGTCACTGGGAGCAGGGAAGGCACCATTTGCTGTATTTACTGAGCACGTGCGGAGTGCCTGGCATTGTTACAGGGCAACGGATGAAGCAGGCACAAATCTCTGACTCTAGGAAGAGACAGACAACAAATAAACAATAAAAAGATGCCAACTGGGGCGCCTGGGTGGCTCAGTTGGTTAAGCGGCTGCCTTCGGCTCAGGTCATGATCCTGGAGTCCCAGGATCGAGTCCCGCATCGGGCTCCCTGCTCGGCAGGGAGTCTGCTTCTCCCTCTGACCCTCCCCTCTCTCATGCTCTCTGTCTCATTCTCTCTCTCAAATAAATAAATAAAATCTTTAAAAAAAAAAAAAAAAAGATGCCAACTGTCTACAAAGAGGAGGATGGTGAGGAGGACCAGGTGTGGGGGGAATCACTCTGAGTGCACTCAGGAGCCACGACAAGGCTGGAAAGGGGAGAGATGTGACCTCACTTCCCTTTTTACAAGGTCCTGTGGCTGTCAGGGGAGAGCAGATTTGGGGGCAGGATGGCCACAGGAAGACCAGGGAGAAGCTGGCTGCTTAACCAGGGCGGGAACAACGAGCCCTGAGATGGAAAGGTGAGGCCTTTACTGTTCAGATGCCCCAAAACTTGAAAGAAAGAACATATGACTAACATAGAGCCAATATACAGATTAAGAAACTAAGATGATTAGTATGCAATCATTACTAAAGCATTTCTAAGAATTAAAAGTCCTACCTGCTGGTGTCCGCTCCTAGGGCCTGAACCTTTCACTTATTACTGCCGTATTAAAACAAAACAAGGACTACAGGGCCTGGTGGAAGGGCATCTCCCCCATCTTTAGCCTAGAACTCCTCTGAGACAGGCAATGGGAATGAAGCAGTTATAAGGCAGTAAGATATAAGCCATAACGGAAGGAGCTCAGAGACCATGGGAGCCCGGGGATGGGCCCGCAGGAGAGGTTTTATTGGACTTTAGATTTGGCCTGATGGAAGTGAGGAGCCATGGAAAGCTTTTTTTGTTTTTATTTATTTGTTTTGTTTTTTTTAAAGATTTTATTTATTTATTTGACAGAGAGAGACACAGCGAGAGAGGGAACACAAGCAGGGGCAGTGGCAGAAGGAGAGGGAGAAGCAGGCTCCCTGCCCAGCACGGAGCCCGACGTGGAGCTCGATCCCAGGGTCCCAGAATCATGACCTGAGCTGAAGGCAGACGCTTAACTGAAAGGTTTCGAAGTGAAACAGAACATGGGGCGCCTGGGTGGCTCAGTCGATTAAGCGTCCGACTCCTGATTTTGGCTCAGGTCACAATCTCAGGGTTGTGAGACTGAGCTCCACGTCAGTGTGGAGCCTGCTTAGGATTCCCTCTCTCCCTCCCTCTCTCTCTGTCCCTCTCCCCGCTCACACTCTCTTTCTCTCTCTCTCAAAATAAATAAATAAATAAATAAGTGAAGCAGAACATGGTCAGATTTCCTTTGGGATCGCTCTGGGACCATCACAGAGAATGGACTGAAAGTGATAATACGGAGCACAGAGGCTCAAATGAGAGAATGTTAAGAGGGAGGTGGTGCAAGATGTGACTTTTGCCTTAGGAGCGCACAGTCCAGTGAGGGGAGGCAGTAAACATCTAAAGTAGCATTGCTCAACTTTGTTTTTATTACTGCTCCCCAAGGGGTCTTTTAAGACAGCTTTTAAAAATTGCAGCCATCCATGAAATCTTAATACCATAGTTATACTGCATATCTGTTTATGTACTGTATACATTAAAGAGAGTAAGACTCATTTGCCCCCACCTCACCCCCTCACCCAGTACAGCTGAGGGACAGTGAGGAAGGGAACAAGAGAGCAGGTAAGGAAGGAGGTGGTTGAGGTCAGCCCAGGGAAGAACACAGAGAACCCAGCAAGGACCTGGGATTTTGTTCTGTGAATAGGAAGCTATTGAAGAGCTCTAAGCAAATATGTAATGTGAATAGTTTTCAGTTCCTAAATATTCTCTCTGGCCACTGTGTGGGGGGCAAGTGAGAGGGGATTCAGAGTGTCAGGGAAAAGGCGGGGGCAGGGATTCTGGAGGTGAACAGGTCAGGGAGGTGTCTGGACTCAAGCAGGGACTATGGGAAGGGGCAAGAGGTTATCATGTTCTGGATCCCGGGTGCATGGTGCAGGTCTGTGTGGGGGGTAGGGTGGGGCTGAGGATAACTCCCAGGTCTTTATTCTGAGCAACCAGAAGGATGAAGGGGGTGAAAACGGATGAGCCCCCCGCCCCCCCGCCTCACCTCCACCGCTGAGGGTGAGCGTGGTGGCCGCACCTGCTCGGCACACTGAAGGAAGCGGCGCACATGCTCTGCACAGTTGCCCACGGCTGCCTCATTCTGTCGAAGACACTCCTCAAAGGCCTCAAAAGGCTCAGCACAGGCCTGGCGGATCTGACGGATGATTGGGCTGTGGAGGAAGGGCATTTCAGGCATTCACACTTCCACTCCACCGCCTACCCACCCCCCACCTCCCACCCCATCCCATTCTTGTCCACACTCACTGGGAGGACGTGCATTGAGCAATACTCATCTTAAGGTGGTGACAGTCCCGCTGCCAGGACTCAGGCTTGGCCGCCACACACTGGCCATATTGCTCCAGCTCCCGGCCACAGTAGCGAGCAGTGACCTCCAGGGCTGCCTGCCTGTGGGACATGGTGGGCTGAGGATAATTCCAGACAACAGACAAGAAAGGGAGTTCTGATTTTGGTAGTAGGATGGAGCAGGGAACAACACTAGGGATCTCGGGCAGATCCGGAAGTCTGAAGGATCCTAGATAGAGCCAGGGAGATGGAGGGGGAGGTAAGGCATGAGCGCTGGGGATTATGGAACAGGCTGGGGGCTTCTGGGAAGATGGTGGAGATCTTTTCCAAAAAAGATCTAATCATTCGAAGGCAAGCCTTGGGGTCCTGGAAGAAGGGTCTTGGAGTTCGGGCATTCCCCAATAGGGCCTTAAAAGTAAGATCTTGAGTTCTAGGAGAAAACCTGGGAGCCCTAAAGGGGTTTGGAGTTCTAAAAAGAGGTTTAGAAGTCCAAGGGGTAAGGTCTTTGGTCCTGGGGAAGGGTTTATTGGCCAGTCTTAAAGATTAGGCCTGAGGACAGGGGTCCTGGAGATGAGACCTGAAGCCCTGGAGTGGGTTTGGGGGTCCTAGGGTGGGTCCCAGAGTTCTAGGGGCATGACGTGGAAACCCTGGGGAAGGTTGGGGCTCTGGGACAGATCTGGAGGTTCCTACAAGTAAGCTCTTGGGAACAAGATCTGGAAATCTAGAGTGGGACCAATGGTCTAGGAACAAGTCTGTGGGTGCTACAGGTGAGGTCTGGGATACTGTGCAGATCCTAAGGTTCAAAACGTATGTTTAGGTGATCTAGAGGGATGAATCCGGAGCTCTAAGAACGGGTCTAAGAATCGTAGAGGTCGGGCGCATGGGTGGCTCAGATGGTTAAGCGTCTGCCTTCGGCTCAGATCATGATCCCAGGGTCCTGGGATCGAGTCCCGCATCGGGCTCCCTGCTCCTTGGGAGCCTGCTTCTCTCTGTCTCTCTCTCTGTCTCTCATGAATAAATAAATAAAATCTTTAAAAAAAAAAAAAAGAATCGTAGAGGTCCCGCGACAATTCTGCAGTCCTAGGGTTGCAAGGTGGTGGACAGTGCCAGGGGTCCTAGGGACAGGGGTTGGGTGGGTGTTAAGGGTGGACCTGACAAGTTCCCAGTTACCACGAGGAAGAGGGGAAGAGTCTAAACGTTCAGGGGCGGGGCCTGGACACGCGGAGGGATGAGACTTGTAATGGACTGCGCTGAATCCTAAGGGTCGGATTTCCGAGGAACAAAGAAGCCAATCCTTCCTCCCGGAGTGCTGGCGTAGGTCCAGGTCACGGGAAGAGAGGGGGTGCGGCGGCATATCCGGGGTAGGCGCTCCCGCTACTCACATCTCCAGGCCGCTGCCGGTAGGGAATCAGTCAGGGAGGAGAGTCCCGCCTTTTCCGGTACAGGTTGTCATGGCGGCGCCCAACTCCGCTGTCCTTGCCTCGTTTTTTTCCGGTCGCAGAGCCGCCAAGCGGCCCGTTCCATTCCCTTCAGGCCCAACCTGTCATGGCGGCGCCCTGTCTCTCCTTCCGGCCCCGCCTGTCGTGGCGGCGCCTGCGCAGTCATCGCAGGCCCCCATTCGGTTCGGTTGCTCTACCTCTTTCTACATCCGGTTTGCCTTGGCCCCGGCGGAGTGCGCCGGGAATAAGGGGTGGACGCCGCAGCACGCGCTTCTATCCTAGCTGCCCGCCCGGAGCTGGTGGCGAGCGGATGCTGTGGCCGGGTTGGGCGCCGTGGCTGCCGGCTGCTGGGCGCGGGGACTAGGAGCCTGACGCCTAGCCACCTCTGTCTTGCGCAGGCGCTCCCCGTCCTCTCGGGATGCTGGTTCGTGCGCGCGCGCGGAGCCGCGGGAAGGGGGTCACCGCAAGAGTGGGACCAACCGGCCTGGACGTCCCTTCGGCTTAGCCTGGGTTACCCAGACCAGGCCCCCTCCTTCTTGGCATAAGCCCTGCGGCCAGGCCGGACTTGAGTGTTAATATTGGCTCCACGTGATTATGGGCATGTGTAATTCTAGTTCCTCCTGGTGGGGTACCGTTTCCATCTCTTGATCTGTCCTCCAGTGTGAGGCCTGGGGGTGCGTTTTCCCCTCTGTGAGGGTGGGCGCGAGTATCCCATGATCAGAGAGAAACTAAGCATCAGCCCAGCCATCTAGTATGTGGATGTCTTCCCAGACTCCAGCCAAAATTAACATAAAATGCACTTCATCATAGTGTTGAGGAACAAGAGCTATTTGTGAGCAAGTGACAGCTATTTGGAGTATCCGTGTGCTCATCTGTAAATGGGGATGATGATAGTGAGATCCTTTACATAGGGCATAGTGCCTGTGAACAGTTTAGGGCAGAGCCTGGACCCTCAGGAGTTCTGGAGAAGTGAGAGCTGTCACGGGAGCCTGTTACTGTGAGCTGCTCTGGTTGGCCCTTGACGTATGATTGCCCCACTGACCATCTGAACCTGCCTCCGATGACAGGAGTAGGTTTGGAGCTATGCGCACCGAAGGAAAGCTTTTCACCCAAAGCCTTCCTATTCTTCCTTCTTGCAAAAACTTCCAAGTGTGTATTTTTGGTGGGAGAACGGGGGAAGGAACACCCTCAGTGACAGAGAACACTCTGGCTTCAATTGTGGACTGAATCCTCATATTCTTCTCTCCTGGGAAAGTGAAATCTTAACCTGTCCCTTGGCACTTCCTGAGTCTTATCTCAAAGTCCCTGTAATGTGCTTCCTCAAGAGAAGGGGTTCAAACGTGGGCTCATTAGTAGGTACGATGAAGACCCCAAGAGGAGACACCCCCTCTGGGAAGTGTAACACCTGTGCCTCCAAGCTTCTAGGTTGTCTTTGGGCTATAGCTCCAGAGTGACTAACTTCCTCTCTAGGGATCAAATGCAAGGCAGACCTATGGAGTGAAGCCGACCTGGGTTTGAATCGGAGATCTTGGGCAGAATCTGCTCTCTGGGTTTCAGTTTCCTCCATGACAGCTGCTTCAGGATGCCCTTGTGAGCAGAGACTGAAATGACGCCTGCAGAGCCTATGGTGTGGAGCACTTTGTACTTTGCTTTTTCTAGCCTTATCAGAATTAGTTATTGTATTTGCTTATTTTCTGCCTTCTTCAAGACCCATGAGGGAATGGCTTGTATCTGTCTCATGGTCACTGCTGGATCCCCTCCATAGCATGGGGTCTGGCAGAGTCATAATGGGACAAATGAAACCATCTGCTCACAGGATTGCGTGAGGATAAAATGAGATCCACTCATTGACTCGTATGATACTTATTAAGTGCCATATATGTGCCAGGAACTGGGGAAACAGCAAGTAAAAGACCAAAATTCATACTGCTAAAAAGGGTATACAATGGGATGTGTTGGTATACATAGGCATTGTGAAATGATTACCATAATAATATCCATCAGCTCACGTAGTTAACATTTTTTATGTGTGATAAGGTCATTTAAGATCTAATTTCTTAGCAAATTTCAAGTACACAATATGTTATTATTGGCTAATGCTATACATTAGGTCTCCAGAACTTACTCATCTTAATAGAGTTTATACCATTTGACCAACATCTCCCCATTTCCCCCACACCCCAGGCCTGCCAACCACCATTCTGTTTTCATGAGTTCAACTTAGATTCCACATATAAGTGAGATCATGTGATATTTGTCTTTGCGTAATTTAGTCCCTCCAGGTGGGGCATGTCAGATTTGATGAAGGGCAGGGAGCATGATGGGTGGATACAGGGTGGTGGGTGGGAGGATGCCCTTGTAGAATGTGACCTGGAGGGAGTTGTCCAGTGCTTCGATCCCTGGCCAGACTGAGAGCCGCCATGAATGGCAGCACAGAAACGACTTTGACCAGATGATCTGTGAGCTGGCAGCAGTGTGAGTCCTGACCCTTGATCCCCTGAAGGGGCCATGTGGCAGGAAGGGATGGTGCCTGGGTGTGTTGGTGATTTCCTAATGGTGTTATGAGAGGAGTACCGTTGACTAGGAGAGGGTCTCCAGGACTCCCGAGGGCTCCTTCTCTCCCCTCGGTGGCTTCATTGCCCCCTTCATCTGGGTTTTTCTTTTCTAGAAGCTCTCCCTCTTAATCTTAAGTTTATAGGATATGATGGGTGGGAGGCAAATCCTGACGAGCCCAATACATGTAAAATCTCCAAGCTGAGGACGGCAGTGAGCACGCTTTTCCAGCCACATTACATCTTTTCTCACTAGCCAGGTGGCTAGTGACCTAGAGCTTCAGGATCACCCCTCCTCTGGAGATAGTAGCACAGAAATTTGTTAGAGGAAACCACATACTCTGACTCTGAGGGGGTGTCCCAGCTCTTGACTTCTTTTTTCTCCTCATTAAGCTCCTTAGTTAAAAAAAAAAAAAAAGACAGAGAAAAATGAACACTTTGCTTGAAGCTTAACTTCCACTTTCTCATTAGTGTCTCCTGGATCCTATGCCTCCCAGATCTATTCTTCCAGAGCCCAAAGCCTTAGGATTCCTGGGAACTGCAATGAATCCCATCCCTTCCTCCTGCGTCTGGATTCCAACCATTTGTTAGTCTAGGCAAGGGCCGGTGAGGCTTAGAAAAGGGTCCACTTGTTGGGTCCTGCCATGCTGTCCACACAGGCCTGTATTAAGGGTGCTGCCTTCCCTCCGGTGCTGGGCGAGGGGAGGGCTTGGGAGGAGGTGAAAGCCATGGCTCTGTCCTAGAGGAACTGACAAACACCAGCTAACAACCTTCCTACCTGATGATGGGTGTGAGGCAGCAGAACGGTGCCCTTGTGATGAGGTCTGCTTGGCTCTATTCTGCCTCCTGGGGACTGGTCTTAGGCAAGACCTTGACAGCTCACCCAGGACAGTTCCTTTCCTCCTGCACTGGGCGGCTGCCTGAGGCTGAGATTCCAGTGGGCCTGGCCACCTCCGCAGCACTGCGTGTGTCTTCCTCATCCACGGCAGGTTCATGGGGTTTGAGGCGTAGGAAATGCAGATTCAGAAGCTGCAGCTGATGAGCGGGTCCCAGTGCTGATCTCTTCCAGGTCCTCGGGAGCTGTGGGCCACAGGCTGAAAGGGAGGTGTGCAGAAACCAGTCCCAGAGAGAGGACACTGCCCTCACTTCTTGGCTTTGCCTCCAAGAAGTGGTATTTGATGGTTCAAATAGAACACTGCACCACTTGGGAAGGAAAAGTAAGTGTGGGAAGGGTTAATTAAGTGGCTTGTTTTCTTTACAGCCAATCTGGGCCTCCTCACCAATCTCAATATTATCTTCTATCCACATGGAGGCATCGCACATTTAGAACCCATGCTAATCTGTGCTCTGTAAGGAGCTAAGCCTCAGTGGGACTGGCTTCCTGAGGTTGCTGTAACAAACTGCCACAAACTGGGTAGCTTAAAACAACAGACATGCATTTTCACAGTTCAGGAAGCCGGAAGTCCAAAATCAAGGTGCTGGCAGATTCCTGCTGGAGGCTCTGAAGAATCTGTCCCATACCTGTTTCCCAGCTTCTGGTGGTTACAGGCAGTCCTTGGCATTCCTTGGCTGGTAGACACATTACTTCCATCTCTGCCTCCGCTCACATCACCTTCTCTGTGTGTTCTCTTACAAGGACACGAAGGCCAAAACCCCAGGGGGAGCCTTCGCCTACATCCCTTTGCCACAGGCTGCACCCTGTATCATTGTCAGTAACGCTTGCAGTTGAAAAGGCTCACCAGGACTAGCTGTCAAAGGGGGAGGGCAGTGCGGACAGCCTGCTGGAAGGGGGTCTGAAGCGCTCCTGCCCGGACCAGCTCTTCCATCAGTGCAGTGGGCTCTTCCCCACATCCTGTGCTGCCTCCCCCACACCGCAGGGCTGGGCTGGGGTGCCTGCTGGGTCCCACAGAGATACTCAACCCACTGGCACTGTCCTCACTGTAGATCTGCCCCACAGGAACACTTCTTACCATCAAAAGAAGTACCACACATACTTGAAACGTCTATTCGTATAATACATCTTGCAGTACCTGTTACAACCACTTGGGTGTATGGAGTGTCCATTAAATAAAACAGGTTAGTTTCAAGGACCACAGTGGGCAATTCATTTTTGTTGGATCAACATTCTTTTTTTTTTTTTTAGATTTTTATTTATTTATTTGATAGAGAGAGAGAGAACACAAGCAGGGGGAGCAGCAGAGGGAGACGGAGAAGGAGACTCTCCACTGAGCAGGAAGGCTAATGTGGGGCTCCATCCCAGGGCCCTGGGATCATGACCTGAGCCGAAAGCAGATGCTTAACCAACTGAGCCACCCAGGCGCTCTGGATCAACATTCTTAACAGAGACAAATTATTTATTCCATCTTGTGTGTAGTTCTGTTCTTTCATTAGGAAACTTATAAACAATACAGAAACTTATAAACAATACAGAAATATACAGCCCTATTTTATTGCAGTTTTTAATCTATCCATATACTATTCAGATAATTAACCTATCATTCAATTTTTTTAAGCTTTTATTTATTTGATAGACACAGCGAGAGAGGGAACACAAGCAGGGGAAGTGGGAGAGGGAGAAGCAGGCCCCCCACGGAGCAGGGAGCCCGATGCGGGGCTCGATCCCAGGACCCTAGGATCATGACCCAAGCCGAAGGCTTAACAACTAAGCCACCCAGGTGCCCCCTATCACTCAATTTTGTATTTACTTCTTTAAAATACTGTTATGCAATATTCCATTCATAGATGTAACATTCAGTTTTACCTACAGCTCCATCCTTCCCTTGAAGACATTTGTTTTGAAACAACATTCCATTTGTATAAATATGTATCTTGTCTATACCTTATCCCTTCACTGCATACACTGATTTGTGTTATACCAGCACAACATTCAAAATGATACTTATCATCCAATTCTCTGGCAAAAAAAAAAAAGAATCTTGATCTGAACCTCACACCTTATACAAAAATAAATTCAAGGGGCGCCTGGGTGGTTTAGTCATTGGGCATTTGGACTCTTGATTTCAGCTCAGGTGGTGATCTCAGGGTTCTGTGATCAATCCCTGCTCAGGGCTCCCTGCTCAGCAGGGAGTCTGCTGGAGATTATGCCTGCCTCACCCCACCCCCTCCACTTGCACATTCTAATAAAGGGATAAATCTTTAAAAAAAAATAAACTCAAGGGGCGCCTGGGTGGCTCAGTCGTTAAGCGTCTGCCTTCGGCTCAGGTCATGATCCCAGGGTCCTGGGCTCGAGCCCCACATCGGGCTCCCTGCTCAGCGGGAAGCCTGCCTCTGCCTCTCCCACTCCCCCTGCTTGTGTTCCCTCTCTTGCTGTGTCTCTCTCTGTCAAATAAATAAAATCTTAAAAAAAAATAAACTCAAAAGGGATAAATGGATCACAGATTTAAATGTACAGCATAAAATTATAAACATTTAGAAGATATTATGATAAAATCTTTGGGCTTGAAGAGTTCTTAAGACATGACACCAGGGCACCTGGGTGGCTCAGTTGGTTAAGCGACTGCCTTCGGCTCAGGTCATGATCCTGGAGTCCCGGGATCGAGTCCCGCATCGGGCTCCCTGCTCAGCGGGGGGTCTGCTTCTCCCTCTGACCCTCCTCCCTCTCCTGCTCTCTGTCTCTCATTCTCTCTCTCTCAAATAAATAAAATCTTAAAAAAAAAAAAAAAAAGACATGACACCAAAAGCATGATCTACCAAAAACCAAACCCAAATGATAAAGTATAAACTCCATATCATGGAGTGCTGAGTGACAGTAAGAAGGAATAAATTACAGATACATTCAAGAACTTCAGTGGAGGGCGCCTGGGTGGCTCAGTTGGTTAAGCGACTGTCTTCGGCTCAGGTCATGATCCCGGGGTCCTGGGATCGAGTCCCGCATTGGGCTCCCGGCTCAGCAGGAAGCCTGCTTCTCCCTCTCCCACTCCCCCTGCTTGTGTTCCTGCTCTCGCTGTCTCTGTCTCTGTCAAATAAATAAATAAAATCTTAAAAAAAAGAACTTAAGTGGACTCAGGGGAATTGCACTGAGTGGAAAAGGCCAATTTCAAAAGGTCACATACTGTATGATTCCATTTATATAATATTCTTGAAATAACAAAATGATTGAGACGGAGAATAGATTAGTGGTTGCCAGGGGTTAAAGTTGGGGGATGGAGTTGGGGATGGCTATAAAGGGAAAACATGGCAGAGCCTTGTGGTGTGGAATAGTTGTGCATCTTTTTTTTTTTTTTAATTTAAATTCAATTAACATAGTATATTATTACATTCAAAGGAAGAGGTCAGTGATTCATCAGTCTTATATAATACCCAGTGTTCATTAAATCACTTTTCCTCCTTAATGTCCATCACCCAGCTACCCCATCCCCCCAACCTGCTCCCCTCCAGCAACCCTCAGTTTATTTCTTATGATTAAGAGTCGGGGCACCTGGGTGGCTCAGTCGTTAAGCGTCTGCCTTCGGCTCAGGTCATGATCCAGGGTCCTGGGATCGAGCCCCGCATCGAGCCCCGCATCGGGCTCCCTGCTCGGCGGGAAGCCTGCTTCTCCCTCTTCCACTCCCCCTGCTTGTGTTCCTGCTCTCACTGTCTCTCTGTCAAATAAATAAATTAAAAAAAAAAAAATCTTTAAAAAAAAAAAGAGTCACTTATGGTTTTTAGTTGTGTCTTATGTTGGTTACATCAATCTACAAGTGTGATAAGATTGATCAGAACTATACACACATATATAAACAAGTGCGTGTAAACTGGTGAAATAGGACTAAACTCTGTGAATTGTCCCAATGTCAATTTTGTGAATCTATAATTTTAAAAAGCTAAGCAAATAAGCCAGAGAAAAGACATATGATTTCACTAATATGTGGAATTTAAGAAATAAAATAGATGAACATAGCAAGGGGTGGGAGGGAGAGAGGCAAACCATAAAAGACTCTTAACTCTAGAGGACAGAAGGTTGCTGGAGGGGAGGCGGGCAGGGGGATGGGGTATATGGGTGATGGGGATTAAGGAGGGCACTTGTGATGAGCACTGGGTATTATATGGAAGTGATGAATCTCTAAATTCTACTCCTGAAACTAATATTACACTATATATTAACTGGAATTTAAATAAAAAAACAAGTAAAAGTTAAAACAAACTTTATTTATTTATTACCATTTTTGGTGCTCCTAAAAAAATTAGGAGACTTGGAACAACATACCTCAGCTATGGGACTGTGAGATAGACAGAGACTGTCTAAAGTTCAGCTAGGATTCTACTAACAGTAGGTGAAAGTATCAGCCACTAGATTTGAGGCATTTTTCCTTATTTTTTTCCCCAACAGTTTCATGAAGCAAAGCCAGGATATACATTTTTCTCAGTCTAGCCCTATCTGCCTTCTAGTTAGTAACAGACACCTAAAGCCAGACTCAAGAATTATCTTAGTGAAGTTTAACATCAAAGAGCATGATTCACGAGCGAATACAAGGTTATCTATGCCAGCACTGTTTACAGTAGCCAAAGAACGGGGCTGCCCAAATGTGCGCCAACGGGGGGACAGCACGTACGTACAATGAAATGTACAAAGAAAAACAGCCACTGGATTTGAGAGATTAGTATGAAAAGAGAATGTAAAATATCTCCATAAATTGTTACTTATTATATGTGGAAATGGCATTTTGACTATATTAAATACAGTATATGAACATTATTTCTAAGGTATGGAAACAACCTAAATGTCCATCAAGAGATGAACCAATAGGGGCGCCTGGGTGGCTCCACTGGTTAAGCATCTGCCTTCGGCTCAGGTTATGATTGTGGGGTCCTGGGATCGAGCCCCACGTTGGGCTCCCTGCTTGGCAGGAACCCTGCTTCCCCCTCCACCCCCTGCTGGTGCTTTTTCTTGCTCTCTCAAATAAATAAAATCTAAAAAAAAAAAAAAAAAAGATGAACAAATAAAATGTGCTATACACACAAAAAGGAATATTATTCAGCCTTAAAAAAAGGAAATCCTGCCATATGCAACAACATGGATAAACCTGAAGGCCATTATGCTAAGTGAAATAAGCCCATCACAGAAGCACAAATACTGCATGATCTCACTTATATGAGGTATCTAATAAGAGAGTCAAACTCACAGCCTAGAGTGATGGCTACCAGGAGCTGGTGGGAGGGAAATGGGGAGTTGCTACTGAACAGGTGTAAAGCTCCACTTATACGAGTCAATTTTGCCTGTAGTTAACAATACTCTATTGTACATCTAAACATTTATTAAGAGGGTAGATATCAAATTCAGTGTTTTTACCAAAAACACACACAACCCCAAAGTGCACAAGGAATCTTTTGGAGAGTGATGTTTATTACCTCGATTGTGGTGATCATTTCACAGGTGTATGCATATGCTCAAACCCATCAAATTGTACATGTTAACTATGCACAGTTTTGTGTAACAATTACACTTCAATAGAGCTACCTTTGGTTTTTACTTTAATGTGGATATAAGCAAATATAAAATTACATATGTCACTTGCGTGGTATTTGTACTGGATTGCTCGGTTCTAGACGGAGCAATGTTCGATGGTCACTGCCCACTGAATGTAGGGTACAAAGACCCTGGGGTTGGAAAGACTTCCCTATATATCCTTCTATCAGTGTATCATTTTTAAAGAAGATACTTGTGGAATTTTTTAACAAATATATTGAAAATCAACTTCAGTAGTTACCATACTGGTCAGACTCAGAAATCCTGAATTCTTAGTTGCCAGGTCTCGGTGGGAAACTTGAACACCCTTGAAAAACACTCCAGAGTAACCAAGTCATATCTTCACTGAGCTCAAGGTATATTTGGTTTTAATCTGAGAGTTCTCCTAACCCAAAAGGCCACATCAAGTTAAATGACGTCCAGTTTCACCTTGATGTTCATAGCTGCCAGTTCCGCTACAAAATACCGGAAAACGTAAGGCACAGAAACAGTGTCGATGGTGTCGCTGCGATCACACAAAGCACAGTTGTATTTTCTGTTGCGCGTGGCAGACCAAGAAGGGGGTGGCTTCTCCAGCAGTGGAGAGAGTAAGCTACCACACTTCACGCACACATGGGCTACTGAGCGATCCGAACAGTTGAAGAGGCGGTCATGAAGGAGAAAAGATGTACCATGAGCTAAAAGAGCATCCCGCTCCATTTCCCCAAAACGGATTCCACCCTGGACATTTCTTCCCCCAATAGGCTGGTTCGTGACTTTGTCTCTGGCTCCCGTGGTTCTAACCTGGAATTTATCTGAAACCATGTGGCGTAAACGCTGGTAATAAACCACGCCTATGAAAATGTCTGCTTCCAGTTCTATCCCACTGATGCCACTATACAACCTCTCGGTGCCATAGAAGTTGTAGCCAGCGGCTTTTAACAGCTCGCCGAAATACTCTAAGGCCGAGTTCTCCTCTGAAAAGGTGAAGGGTGTCGCATCATGGCAGAGACCGTGCAGAGCAGCAGACTTCCCTGCCATACTTTCAATTAACATCCCGATGGTCATGCGGGAGGGAAAACCGTGAGGATTGAACAGGATGTCTGGGACCATCCCACTCTCAGTGAAAGGCATGTCCTCAACCGGCCACAACCTGCTCAAGATGCCCTTCTGCCCGTGGCGACTAGCGAATTTATCTCCGATAGTTGGGTTCCGAGGGACTCTCATCGTGATGCAAATACACTTGAACTTCCCACTGCCAGTGTCATTACTACACACTTTGATGTTATCCACAATGCAATTTTCCTTACTCCTGGGAAAAAAAGCAGACAGAAGGTCAAACTACTTTCTTTACACTGACAAACACACCCAAGTTTCACTGACATAATTAGTCCTTCATAAAGGATATTTGCAAAACTTATTCTCACATTTCTTCTCCAGTACAAACAGAGTTGGTATCCCTAAAAGTATTTATGAACAGAGCTACTGATTCTGTTCGCTACAGAACTCTGCTCATCCGAAGAAAAGCAACAGAGACCACCAAAACACTATTAATGAAGACCTACTGCTGAAACCATTTCATAGATGGAAAATAAACTAACCATTTTTAATTTTAACGAGAGGCATCATGAACTTGACATTTTTAGCTAGGGAAATCCCTAACAACATGCATGAGAGAGATGACCAAGTTTGAATAGCTGAGTTTTAAAAAGAAGTCACAGGCAGCTTGTCAAATCGTAACAGACTGACAAGAGAAGCAGAAAACCAAAGGCCCGTCCAGCAGACACAGAACTCTGTCTCATTTAAGAAACGCCAATTCAGGGGCGCCTGGGTGGCTCAGCTGGTTAAGCATCTGCCTTCGGCTCAGGTCATGATCCCAGGGTCCTGGGATCGAGGCCCACATCAGGCTCCCTGCTCAGCGGGAAGCCTGCTTCTCCCTCTCCCACTCCCCCTGCTTGTGTTCCCTCTCTCGCAGTCTCTCTCTGTCAAATAAATAAATAGAAAGCTCTTAAAAAAAAAAGAAATGCCAATTCAGTTATGACTGAGTCAGTAACTGAGCTACCACTTTTATCTTCTCCAAAATTCTCCTGTCACAAGATAACTTTCACTGACCTCAGCAATTTCACTGAGAAACAGCCTTCAAAAAATAGCACTGGGTACCCACACTTACTTATAGTACATCACAAAGCTTTCCCCGGTGTTGAGGTTCAGGTAGCTGTAATACGGATCTCCATACTGCAGCTGAGCTCCAATAAATGGCAAGCCATCATCACCTAACTTCTGCAAAATCCGCGGGTCACCAGGTTTGACTCCAAACACCAGACTATCATCTCCTTGTTTAATTTTTTCAGAGAGATCTATGAACTCAGATTTGTAGACACTTCCATGGGCAAAGCCTCGTTCCCAGGAGGCCTTATTCACGATCTACAAGGTCAAAGAATCATTAACTCAAGAGACTGAGGTCAAATGGGGATTTTCACAATATTAAAAATGGTTAGAATTAAAATACTTGGTTTAGGATAACTGGCATTCTAATTTAAAAACTCCAAATTTTCAGGAGCGCCTGCGTGTCTCAGTCAGTTAAGCATCTGCCTTTGGCTCAGGTCCTGATTCCAGGACCCTGGGATCGAGCCCCTCGTCAGGCTCCCTGCTCAGCGGGGAGTCTGCTTCTCCCTCTCCCTCTGCCCATACCCACCACTTGTGCTCTCTCATGCTCTCTCTCTCGCAAATAAAACTGTAAACAAAACACTCCGCATTTTCCAAGCCACCTACACTACTAAAACCCACTTATAAATGGCTTAAAACCTAATTATGCATAAATATAAAAGGTAGATATATCCAAGACTACATTCATTCAACATCTACTCATACTATGCACTCAAGTATGCACAGTATATGCATATCTGAATATTTAGTGAATATCCCTCAGGGCTTGCCACTTTCAATGGAGACGAGCAATTAATCATTTAACAGAACACTCATGCACCAGGACGTAGAAAAACAGTAAACAGGGCGCCTGGGTGGCTCAGTTGGTTAAGCGACTGCCTTCGGCTCAGGTCATGATCCTGGAGTCCCAGGATCGAGTCCCGCATCGGACTCCCTGCTCGGCAGGGAGTCTGCTCCTCCCTCTGACCCTCCCCCTTCTCATGTGCTTTCTCTCATTCTCTCTCTCTCAAATAAATAAATAAATAAAAAATCTTTAAAAAAAAAAAAGAAAAACAGTAAACAAAAAAGTTACAAATTAAAAGGAATTGAACTACATCTCTTGGTAGAACTTACCATGGCATCTTCCATATCGTAGCCAGTGTAAGAAATAACAGCAACGATGGCATTTGTCCCAATTGGATAGTTATCCATGTCATAATAATCATACATGTATGGTCTTACTAAAGGGCTTTGTGGAGTCTGAAGACGGTACAGTTTATTATCTGACCGAGCTTGGTAAGTGAGAAGTGGAAAGCCCATGGTTTGCTTCCCTACAAAGGGAAAAAAAACTTTAGCATCTTGTTTGTTTCCCTTGATTATAAAGGTCATATATAAAATTCGAGGGGTGCCTGGTGGTGCAGTTGGTTAAGTGTCTGCCTTCTGCTCAGGTCATGATCCCAGGGTTCTGGGATTAAGCCTCACATCAGACTCCCTACCGAGTGGGGAGTCTGCCTCTCTCTCTCTCAAATAAATAAATAAAATAAAATAGGAAACAGTAAAACATTCATCATAGGGGAATGAATAAATCAATCGTGGCAGACTAATACACAGCATGAAAATAAAGCAGAACCACATGTATGTATGTAACCAGACCATGAAAACAATGCTGAGTGGGGAAAAAGCACAGAATGACATTTAATATTGTATGATTTATGTACATTTGTAACACATCCCAGACAATTCCATAGTTTGTGGACATGTGTATAATATAAGAAAAGCATAAAAAGGGGATAATAAAGGATATATATAAACTACAGGGTATTACTAGTGGAGGAAGAAAAGGGGTGAAAAGGGGACAGTAACTATTATTAGATTATTTTCTTACACAGAGCAAAATGTCAGTATTTGTTAATTCTGGGTATGGGGTACAGAGGGTAGGGAAGTAAGTCTTCTTTCTACTACTTTACATTATAGAGAATCAATCTGAAATAAAGTGATTTTTAAGATTAAATATATATATGTGCATTTTAAAATACCGAAAAGGAGACTTCCAGCTTTCAGTAATAGAAGGCTACTCCTACAAGACCACCCTCAGCACATAAGATCCAGAACAATACAAAACAAAAAATCACCACATGGGCAAACGCACACACACACACACAATCTGAAAGCACTGGAGAGTAACCAAAAGGCGTCAGGGACTGGAGAGGAATTTATACTTGGACAAAAGAAACGGAACGGCGTGAACTACTAGCTTTTTCAGTTTTTAATGTTTTTGTTTCTTTTGGCCTGATGGTACAGTCACTACAGTGGCTACAACCTAGATAAAAACCTACAGTTTTACTGGCTTGAAGAGCCAAGGAATAGAGTTCAGAGCACAACAGCAACTGGAAAGTAAGGGGGGACATTTTAGAAAGGGAAGAACCATAAAGGGAGAGCCTTAAATTCTACATATAAACTGAGTCCAAATCTTTGGTGGACTGAACTATGCATGCATGGGACAGATCTAAGCAGCCCACCTAAGACTAAAAGAACTTCAACTGCTGTGTTTAGATATCAGTTAAATCTAAAAACCAATCCTCTTCAAAGGAACATAATAGAACCCAGAGTCTTAAAACCTATCATCCACAATGTTCCTGATATGATCCAATAGTACCAGAAATACAAAGAAACAGGAAAACATAACCCATACTCAAGAAAAATGTAATCAATGGAGATTGATCCCGAGACGACCCAGATGTTGGAATTAGCGGGGCACCTGAGGGGCTCAGGTCATGATCCCAGGGTCCTGGGACCAAGACCCACATTGGGCTCCCTGCTCAGCAGGGAGTCTGCTTCTTCCTCTCTGTGTATGCAAGCTCTCTCAAATAAATAAATAAATAAATCTTAAAAAAAAAGATGTTGGAATTAGCAGACTTTTTTTTTTTTTTTTCTTCAGACAACAGTTTTTAAACACCTGTTACAACCATGCTCAAAAACATAAAGGAGGGACACCTGGGTGGCTCAGTCGGCTAAGCGTCTGCCTTTGGCTCAGGTCATGATCCCAGGGTCCTGGGATAGAGTACCACATCGGGCTCCCTGCTCAGCGGGAAGCCGGCTTCTCCCTCTGCCTGCCGTTCCCCCTGCTTTGCCCGCTTGCTCTCTTCTCTCTCTCTCTGACAAATAAATAAAACCTTTAAAACAAAACAAAACAAAAACATAAAGGAAAATATGTTCACAAAGAAAACAATCTCTGAGAAAACAAACTATAAAAAAGAAACAAATGGAAACTCTAGGCTGAAAAATTAAATATCTGAAATAGAATGAAAAGTCAGTGAGGGTAATGATAGATCAATAAAAATGATCCAGTATGAAGAGAAAGAAAACAAAGCGGGCGCCTGGATGGCTCAGCCGGCTAAGCATCTGCCTTCAGCTCAGGTCATGATCCCGGAGTTCCAGGACAGAGTCCCACATCAGGCTCCCTGCTCCACGGGGAATCTGCCTCTCCCTCTGCCCTTTACCCTGCTCGTGCTCTCTCTCTCACAAATAAATAAAATCTTAAAAAAAAAAAAAAAGAAAGAAAGAAAACAAAGGAAAAAAGAGAACAGAAACCCAGTGGCTTACGGGGCAATTATCAAAAGGTTTAACATAGATGACGCATGCTGAAAACTCAAGAGGTCAAAAGCAGTGTTTTTAGAAATAATGACAGATAACTACAAATTTGATGAAACCTTTTAAAACAGATTTTAGAAGACCAGTAAGCCCCAAGCACAAAGAACATCATATCTAGGCATATCAATCAGCTACAAACCAGATATAAAGAGAAAATCTTAAGGACGGGAAAATAACACATTATATACAAGCAAACAATGACACTTACAACCACTGACTTCTAGCACAAATGACAGAGACCAAGAAGTGACCCAGTAGTATCTCTTAAGTGCTGAAAAAATGTAACTGTCAAATCAGAATCGTACATCCAGTTCCAAGTGAAGATCAAACAGAGACATTTTCAGAGAAATAAAAACTAAGAAGATTTGTAGCCAGCAACCTAAACTATAAAAAAAGTGCTAAAGGAAGGTTTTCAGGCTCAAGGGATACGACACTCAATGGAAACCGGAATCATCAGGCAGGCAGGCAGAGCACCAGCAGTGGTGAAATGTGGGTGATGACAACGGCCTGTGTTCCTCAAAAATCAAATCACAAGATCTCAGACAAATCCAAATCGACAAACATTCCACAAAATAAATTACCTTTTTGTTCAAGGTACAAAGAGGTCAAAAATGTCAAAAATGACAAAGGCTAAGGATCTAATTTAAAAGACTAAAGAGACTCAACAACTAAATGCAACGTGTGATCCTGGATTAGGTGCTACACAGAAAAAATTTGCCATAAACCATATTTTTGGGACAATCAGTCAAAATGTGAGTAAAGACTATAAAGCAGTATAATGACACCAATGTTAAACTTCCTGATGTTAATACTTGCCCTTGTAATATGCAAGGGAACACCCTTACTGTTAGGAAATACACATGAAATACTTAGGGGTAAAGGGGCATCGTGTCTGCAACTTACCTCCAAATGGAAAGCGGTGCACATGGGACAAAACGTTAAGAGAATCTACATAAAGGGCTTATAGGAGTTCTCTGTACTGTGCTTGCAACATTTCTCTGAGTTTGAAATTATTTCACAATAAAAAAGTTACAGGCGCCTTTCTTGTGTGAACACCACCGCCCTCCACCATCTTACCCATCTGGCACTGGTACATGTTCCGAGGACTCTGGTTGTGATCGGAGAAAGGGATGAAGTTGGCGATCACACTCAGCAGGCTGTGAGGGAAGAGCTCCTGGTGAGTGGTAACTCCTGCCAAAACCTCATCCTCAAAGATGGCAACGTTCATGAAGATCTGGAAAAGAGGAAGGACGAGGAAGTTCAAGGCACAGAATAACTGAGAACGTATTAACTCATCCTATCTCTCAGAGTTTAGGACCCAAAGACTAGAACAAAAACCTTCCCCACTCAGCATCATGAATACTGATGGGATCCAATGGGAAGCTTCCAATCAGAAATACTGTCTGCTTGACACATTTCATTCTAAATCCACCCTGGTCCAACCGTAAAGGACAGGAAGAAAGACATTTTGAAGTAGCACGAAGCCCACAGTTTTGCAACTGTGAAGATGTAGGCAAAAATTGTGAGTCCAATGGAATGTTCTCACCTCACCACCTGAGGCAGAGCCAGGCACAAAGGAGCTGGGCAAGATGGGAAGGCAGGTAATGTGACCACCAATCCTCTCTCTCGATGTGCGAAAGGTCACAGAGGAGGCAGAAAGTAAGTTCTGATTTTCTTTCAAATGCCCAACTGTTACTAAACAATGACAACACTTTCTTTATAAAAAGTTTTTTGTTTTTTTTTTTTTGAGAGAGAGAGCACATACGCAGGGGGAGGGGCAGAGAGAGAGAGGGAGAGAGAATCTGAAGCAGACTTCCCGGTGAACATGGAGCCTGATGCGGGGCTCGATCCCACAACCCTGAGATCATGACCTGAACCGAAATCAAGAGTTGGACTGAGCCACCCAGGCACCCCGATAATACTTTTAAAAAACAGTGGTTGGGGCGCCTGGGTGTCTCAGTTGCTTAAGTGTCTGCATTTGGCTCAGGTCACGATCTCAGGGTCCTGGGATCGAGCCCCATGTTGGGCTCCCTCCTCAGTGGAGAACCTGCTTCTCCCTCTCCCTCTGCTACTCCCTGTGCTTGTGTTCTGTCAAATAAATAAATAAAATCATTATTAAAAAAACAAAAAACCAAAACACAGTGGTTATTAAGTCTCCGAAAGTTGTATACTACACGAGCACACAGAGAAACCAATTACAGTGCTCTACGAACCTGCTCCATAGTTCCAATTAGTTCTTCTCTGCCTAATTCCAAGTTCTGCACAGGCCGCACCAGTCTACAAGGAGTGGTAAACAGGAATAATCCCGGGTAGAGACTTGGTTTTCCTGTCATGGGGATAAGGGCCACTTCCATCCAGGGAGGAATTCTTTTTTCTCTCAACACCTGTTTTCAACAAAAAAAGAGTTCAATTAAGAAGCAGTGATGTGTTTTACATCTATCTCCCTGCCACCCAGGAGGTGGGCAGAATGCGAAAGGAGGTCAAATATAAAAAGCAGAATCAGGAAATTAGTTATGCCAGTAACATCGTAGTGCCAGTCTCATCACCACACAGAAAGCCACTCACCCAGTATCCAGAGTTGGCAAAAGCCCTACCTTCTGAGGGGCTCAGCCTCACTCTGTGGCAAACTGGTAATGGGGGAGACTAGGGGAAAGGTAAACCAAGAAGGTGCATGTGAACACACTAAATGTAAAGTTTGTCCTCTGATGTCTAGAATGTAGTACATTACTGGTTTTATTTTAAACTGTATTCAATGAAAAGACCCTTCTACCTGGAATTTAAAAAACAAAACAACAAAACTTTTATTAATCAACTCCTGGGTAAAATACAAACCCACATTACAGAAATGTGAAAAAATAATGAAACCTATATATCAGAACTTAAGGGCAGTCACAGCTAATCAAGTCATCAAGAAAAATAGATGGATTAAATTCTTAAGGCAAAAGCAAAAAAAACAAAAACAAAACCAACAAAGACACACGTACACACAAAACCCCCACAAGTTAACAAAGATATAACCTGAAATTAATGAGGTATAGTACTGAAAAAGGTTCAAAGCAACAAATCAAAATTCTTCATTCTTAAAAAAGAAAAAAAAAATCAACAAATATCCCTCACTTAACCTAATCAAGAAAAAAAGGGGGACACATACACACAAATGTACTGAGTAAGAAATGACAACAGGAAAAAAAAAAAAACCCACTGAAACTAAATTTTAAAATCATGGGTATACTCTGCATACCTCTAAGAAATCAAGATGAAATAGATAAAATGCAGTTCACCAAAACAGACCTCAACAAAAGTAGAAAGCCTTTTAAAAGATGATCAATTTCCATATTAGAAATAAAGGTATCCAGGGGTGCCTGGGTGGCTCAGTCGTTAAGCGTCTGCCTTCGGCTCAGGTCATGATCCCAGGGTCCTGGGATCGAGCCCCGCATCGGGCTCCCTGCTCAGCGGGAAACCTGCTTCTCCCTCTCCCACTCCCCCTGCTTGTGTTCCCTCTCTCGCTGTGTCTCTCTCTGTCAAATAAATAAAATCTTAAAAAAAAAAAAAAAAAAAAGAAAGAAAGGTATCCAGAAACTAACCCCAAAGAAAGCGCTAGAGCCAGATGGTTTCAGACGGGAATTCTAGCAGACTTAGGCCCGGATAACCCAATGTTCCACAAACTGTGCCAGGGCACTGAAAACAAAGGAAAACTTTCTAATTTTTATAAAACAGATACTTACGTCAATTAAGAAAAAAATACACCAGGGGCGCCTGGGTGGCTCAGTTGGTTAAGCGACTGCCTTCGGCTCGGGTCATGATTCTGGAGTCCCAGGATCGAGTCCCGCATTGGGCTCCCTGCTCGGCGAGGAGCCTGCTTCTCCCTCTAACCCTCCCCCCTCTCATGCTCTCTCTATCTCATTCTCTCTCTCAAATAAATAAAATCTTAAAAAAAAAAAAAAAAGAAAAGAAAAGAAAAGAAAAAATACACCGAGACCAAGTGGGACTTATTCCAGGAATTTAGGATTCATTATTCATCATATTATTAGAGAATGATGATTATTAGGGAATAAATTAATATAATACGCTCAGTACACATCTAAGGGAAAAAATTACAGATTTGTCCCCAAATATACCCAAGAATGAAACACAGCATTACTGTATGATCCAGCAATTCCAATTCTAGGTAGGCACCCAAAAGTACCAAAAGCAGGGACTCGAACAGGTACCTGTACACCCAGGTTCATAGCAGCAGTATTCATGGTAGCCAAATGCTAGAAGCTACCCAAGTGTCCACCAACAAACGAATGGCTAAACAAAACGTGGTGGTATATACAACAGAATACTCGTCAGTCCTAAAAAGGAATGCAGTTCAGACCCATGCTACAACACGGATGAACTTGGAAAATACTATGCTGAGTAAAATAAACCAGACACAAAGGGACAAACATTGTATGATTCCACTGACATGAGGTACCTAGCAAAGTCAAAGTTCACGAAGAAAAATGGAACAGTGGTTACCAGGAATTAGGGAAGGGGGAAATGGGGAGCTCCTGTTGAATGAGCACAGAGTTTCAGTCTGGGATGATGAAAAACTTCAGCAGATGGATAGGGTGATAGTTGCACAACAACATGAATGTGCTCAATGGCACTGAACTATACACTTAAAAATGGTTACAATGGTAAATTTTGTTATGTAAATTTATAAACCAAACCAAACCACAGGAACTTTCTGGAGAGCCTGGAAACAGATCCAATTTGAGCATCAAAATAAGCAACAGCAACAGAATACTCATAAAATAAAACAAGCATCTTATAAATCTATGCTCATGTGAATAAACAAACAAACAAATGGAGGAGAAAGGAAAACTCTGCCTTACAAAACAGAAACTCATAAACACGGAAGGAATGATGGAGCTAGAACCATTTGGCAGCCATCAAGTAGTAACTCAGCAAAGAATCATCAATGGAATAGTAATAATTCTGCAAAGAAGTCACCAACTCACAGGGGGAAAATCTGATGAGGGAAAGGCTTTCACGTAGCTTCCAAATCTCTCTCCACAAATTACTAATTACACAGAAAACTGGTAATAGCACAATGGACCAACCTAGAGCATAAAACCTTAGAGTGATCATAATTAACATCACCAGTTGTGGGACAAGCCAACATCATGTGCCTCTTGAAAGGATATCCTGAATCTCATCATCAGAAAGCTCCACACCAACATAAATTAAAGAATATCTATATAATAACTGGCCTGTAGTTTTTTTTTAAAAAAGTCAAGACCTGAAAGGCTGAGGGACTGTTCCAGATTAAAGGAGACTAAAGAAACATGATAACTACATGTAATATGTGATGCCGGCCTGGGTCCCAGCCCAGGATGGCAAGAACAATGCCATAAAGGACATGACTGAGACAACTGACATCTTCTGAGTATCAGCAGAGCATTTCACCACCCTGACCTTCCTTGATGTTAAAAAGCATACTGTGGTTATTGAGGAGACAAACTCCTTGTTCTTAGGAAGAATACGCTGCAATCTTTGTGGAAAAGGGGTCTTGCCTGTCCACCACCTTCAAATGGTTCAGAAGAAAAAACTACATACCTATTTATAAAGAGCATACAAATGGATAAAGCATGTGGAGCAAAACATAACAATTGGTGGATCTGGGTAATGGGACATCTTTGTGCTATTCAAACGTCTTTACATTTACAATTATATCAAAGTAAAACAATTTTAAAACTACAAAACCAAAACTAAACCAAATAGACCAGAGCATGAACTACAATTCATCCTCTTGCCAAAGAACAATTCTTCAGTGCAACACTCTTCATAGCAATACTCTTGTTAGGAAAATTCCAAGTAAGTTAGTTAAAGGATGTCTTTCTTTTTGACTTTTTTTTTTTTCTTTGTGACTTTTTAACAATATACTTTCAAGATCCAGAAGCCAACAGGATAGGACTTAATATCTTGCCTATCTTTAATACTACTTCAAGTATAAAGAAGATATTTGAGGCTCCTTTTATGCCACTAATATTTACAAAACAAAAAAAGTTAACATTTTTTAGGGCCTCAAGGAAACTACCCCCAAAAAAAAAATTCCTTCAGGTCAAAGTATCTGTCACTGACCCCAACCTATGAGGCCAGCACAAGACAAGACTCTGCCACTTTGGGGGTACACGGGCACTTGTGGAATTAGCTTCTGACCTCCAGACCCCCGACCACTCTAGATGGCTGTGGGGCTACCTCAACAACAAGAAAAGAACTGACAATCAAGATCAAGGCATAAAACAATTCACCAAGACGCAAGATCACCTTAAAATGTCGGAGAGAATCTGCAATGCCCGGAGCAAGCTCCTTATCCACCCAGCCAACCATGACGCCATCCAGCAGGACGGGGTAGCACTCGCTGTACGGTCGAGGTGGAGCTCCGTCAACCGGAGTGACCCCTGGGGAAACGAACAAACAGAACGCTCACTTCGGAATGCTTTTTCCTACAGCCAGAACTCCCTCCGGAGGGCTTCAGCAACCGCTTCGTCATTTTAGACCTCTAGTTATCTTATCTCTAAACCAGCACATTTTTATATTGCTTGAGTGTTTACAGGTCATTTAAGCAAGGACACATGGGCAACGAGTGACTCTGTCTGGGGGGGAGAGCAGCTGGGGGACAAGGGTGTAAGAGAGGCTTTCCACTGTCTACCTTCTATATTTTGATCTGAACCATGTAAATAGATTAACTTTTCCCCCAAAACCTAACTACATTTGATCCTCATTATTTGTGGATTCCATACCTGTGAATTTGCCTACTTGCTAAAATGTATTTGCTTTTGTGGTCATTCCAGGACATTCAGCCAAAGCAGAGAGCGCAGCTAGAAGGTCCCCGGGAACAAAGGCTATGTCTCTGATGACATCAGGGTACAGACTAGACAACTCCTTTTTAACTGTTTTCCTGCAAAATGACACTGTTTCCTACCTAGAGATGCAGTGGTTGAGCCATCAGATGCAAGGAGAGTGACCCCAAATGTTATTTCTGATTATTAAATGCTGAATGCTGCTTTATTTCAAACGCTTTGACATCTTTTTTTGGCGTGGGGTGGGGGGTGGTGGTGAAAGAACAAAACTACAACATTTAACTTCTTCACTCATTCTCAAAAAAAGGCACCTGACCTATAGAAGAGCCAAGAGACCAGCCCAACTCCTGCATAGAAGAGGAAACAGAATTCTTGCTGGAATTCTCTGCTCAGCCCCCAAATAAGCAAACCTTAACAATCTGCACCTGTGAAAGCGCACACCCCCAAACCAACGACTTCCAGTCGCGCCCCACATACCCAGGCTGCAGAGCAAGGCGGGAATAGAGGTCGCGTGCACACGCTGTGTGACGACCTCGCACACAGCGGTCAAGTGGTTCATGAGGCCACAGGGCTCCCCGTCTGGGGTGTGCACAGGACACAGGAAGCCCCAGGACTCCGGCAGCAGCCTGCGCACCGTGGTGGTCCTCATCTTGGCAAAATCGGCCCCTCTGTGTACACAGCGGAAATGGGACAGATAGCGTATGAAGTTCAGCTTATCAGCCACAACGCAAAGGCCAGAATCTTGCAGGAAGCCAAGACCTTCATAAAACAAAAATCGTTTAGAAACAGGCTCAACTTAAAAATACAAGTCTATTTTGATTTGAGGCTCTAAGGACAAACACCTCAGAGCACAGTACCAACCGCAGAGTTACTATAAAGTTTATTAGCTCGAATGAGTGGAAAGAGTTTACAAAACTAGTAGTAAAAAGGCAGTAAAACTCCCGATTTCCCAAGTTATATTAGTGCCCCTCGTTCCCTCTCTCCTCTACTACTACCTTCTTAGTGGGAAACATTAAATGAGTATGAAACAGCAAGTAACTAAATGGGATTCATCAGAGAGGGCTAGAGAATATGTAAGAAGTTGTTATTCCTAAGAACAATCTGCAACAGTACCATCTGTTTAAAAAAAAAAAAAAAAAAAAAAAAACCCAGCAGATTTCTGGGCCCTCAGTGACCACGTAGGCCTTTCTGACGCACCTGGTTTAGGGACGGGCACGTATCTACAACCTCCCAGACTACCTGTCCCAATGACCATTCCTCACAGATTGACGCTGTCCTTAGTATTCTGGAAGGAGCCACAGAGATGCATGTGACGATGAGAAGTGTGAAGTTCTACGGATGCCTTGTCTCAAGTCCTTCAGACTGATACACACTTGTCAAATTTACAACATGAAATCAGTCTTGACTGAAAGGGACAAGTTCACTTTCAAAGAGAACCTCTCTCAGCAATATATAAATCTACACTGAGCAAATGAAATGTAACTAAAATGTAGCCAATCGATTTAATTTTACCTGTTTTGGAACGCAGATTCCCAGTAGCAAGAAGATATTCAAATGGTTTTGTAAGGTCTGTTCCCAGGTTAAAAATCTTCATCAAATTTTCAGTGTTTATGGACACATTCGTCTTCTGAGCCCTCTTGTCTAGAGCTATTTTAATAGACACTAACCAAGATTCCATTTTTTCCTGAAATAAAATTTAAGCCATTAAATTCAAATTATTCACATTTCATATTTACTCCCACATAATCTGTAGGTCTGCCAACAAAGGCCCACTAAGTTTATACATTTGACATGGAAAACATCTGGCCTATAAACCTGAAAACCAGCCTTTCAATGGGTGGACATTCTTAAGACAGAAGCTACAAACACCTGTAGATCAGAGTTTCTCCACCTCGGCACTACTGACATTTTGGTTGGATAGTTCTTAGGGGCCGAGCATGCGTGTAGGATGTCCAGCAGTGTCCCTGGCCCTAACCCACTGGATGCCTGTAACACCCCCCAAGCTGTGACAATCAAAACTGTCTCCAGGCACCGTCAAATGTCCCCTGGAGTGGGGCAAAATTGCTCCCAGTCAAGATTATCGACATTAATGGTTTGCTCTGGCTTTAGAAAAGTTTTTCATTAAAATGCTCTTATCAAGCAGTCAAAACAGCTTCAACAGGCAGAAACAGACAACAAAAACAAAGCTCTGAGACCAAGCAGCAGCCCGTTGTCCTAACAAAATAATAGTAAGAAAAAACAAATAACTAAGAAGAGATCAAAGTCTCCAAATGACACCCCACATACAAGATGGCTGACAAACCAGTAGGAAAGACTGACTCTTTCTTCTTCTAGAAATCTGAAACGCAATGGAAATAAAAATAAGACAGAGACACCGGTAGCAGCACTGTAGCCCAAGACAGGAGACTGGGGGAATGAGGAGCTGATTCTTCTCCCTTGTCACATGTCTGCCTACTGTCACTTTGTCATTAACTTGCTAAGGTCAGCAAGTAGCATTTCTTGGGCACGTACTATATGCTGGCACTCTGCATATTTATTTAAGCCTCACAATAAACTTTTCCTCAAGAAGCAGTACACTGCAGAACCACTTGGGCCAAATGTATTTCAGTATTAAGAATTTTCCAGACTTTGGGGTGCCTGGGTGGCTCAGTCGTTAAGTGTCTGCCTTCGGCTCAGGTCATGATTCCAGGGTCGTGGGATCGAGCCCCGCATCGGGCTCCCTGCTCGGTGGGAAGCCTGCTTCTTCCTCTCCCACTCCTCCTGCTTGTGTTCCTGCTCTCGCTGTCTCTCTCTCTGTCAAATAAATAAATAAATCTTTAAAAAAAAAAAAAAGAAAAAAAAGAATTTTCCAGACTTTAGGGGAGCCTGGATGGCTCAGTCGTTAAGCGTCTGCCTTTGGCTCAGGTCATGATCCCGGGGTCCTGGGATCGAGCCCCGCATTGGGCTCCCTGCTCCGCGAGAAGCCTGCTTCTCCCTCTCCCACTCCCCCTGCTTGTGTTCCCTCTCTCGCTGTCTCTCGCTCTGTCAAATAAATAAAATCTTAAAAAAAAAATTTTTTTTCCCAGACTTTAGAAAGTTAGCAAGTGCATAAACCTACACCTATTACAAAGACTGAGGCACTAACTTGTAATTAAACACATTTCTACAGTGAAACACACAAACTGTCACACTAAGTAGAATCAATAAAAATTATAAATAGCCTCCTGCAGTGCAGGTCAGGTTTTCCTGCCAACTCGCATTTTTTAGGTGCTAGCACTTTCGGGATTTAGAAATGCAGTTGAGTGACTGGGACGTGTGTGTACGGCCAGTGCACGACACAGCAAGAAAAGCCAGAGCGGCCTCTTAGAAGCCCTCCTGGGAGGTTCACCAGCCTTTCCGGTGAAAGGCTGAGCCATATAAAGCTGAGCACAGTGCCTAGGGCAGGAGGGGAGACACCACAAAAGATGATGAACGGGGCCCAGCCTATCTGTTCTCAAGTTCAGCAAGGGCAGCTCTGCAATCTCTCTCGCTCCCTCACCACTAAGAAGCCCTCAGAACCAAGCACAGAAATCACAGGACACCTCAATCTCTGCTGCAACACTCAGTTGAAATGGCCGATGAAGTCTGTAATTCAGATCATGTCACTGTCGTGTACCTTCCTGAAGATTCTTACTGTGTCCCACATTCAGAGGTTCAGAAGCTTTTAAAACAAAGCTGGTGTAAAAGTAAGGAGATCACACACGTTAGGACAGTTACATGTTATCATTAACGTGATGACCAAGATTTGATGTTGTCTTCACTTAGCCTCTAAGAAACATCAGGGAAATTTCTGAATTTGGTATAAACTAAGATCTTTGATTAAGTCCCTTACTGCTCAGCAAACAAACAAAAAGAAAAGGCAGACTCTGTAAAATGCCCACACTACAAATCATAAACACATAGGAAACAATACTGCAGGGAACTGCTTCACCATTCCACGAGAGGGACAGCCGGCCGGGGTGAGAGCAGTAGGCGCTTACCTTCAGAAACATGAGGAAAAGCTGACCGGGCGTCAGGACTTCTTGATTCACTAAACTATCAGGATTGTCCTCCATGCACTCTCCTTTGGCGAAAGCAAAGAGCTTCCGGGTCATGAGACAAAGCATATAAAACTTTTCAGTATTGGATTTCAAGTGGATACAGATGCACTGGCTGTCAAAAGAGAAAGCAAAGCTTAAAACAATTTAGCTGCTACCACTACTTGATGATCTACTGACCATGGTCCCCAATCCCTGTTTACTAGAAGCGCTTTACTCATTTTCAAAAAATTGCTTTTCGGGGCGCCTGGGTGGCTCAGTCGTTAAATGACTGCCTTCAGCTCAGGTCGTGATCCCGGGGTCCTGGGATCGAGTCCCGCATTGGGCTCCTTGCTCAGCGGGGAGCCTGCTTCTCCCTCTCCCGCTCCCCCTGCTTGTGTTCCCTCTCTCGCTGTCTCTCTATCAAATAAATAAAATCTAAAAACAAACAAACAAACAAACAAAAAATTGCTTTTCATCTTCACTGGCAGCATGAGCAAAAGGATAGGACATGGCCACAAGGTCTAGAGCTGTGCTGGACAACACGGCGTGACAAGCACCATGTGGCCACTTACATTTAAATTAATTAAAATTAAATAAACTTAAGAATTCAGTTTCTCAGTTGCACTGGCCATTCAAGGGCTCAAGATGGGACTTGTGGCTACATATTGGATAGTGTTAAGAACTATCCAGTGGTTACAGAACACAGAGTCTTTGCCTTGGGGAAAGAAAGGGACATCATGCTCACAACTTTCAAATGTTGCAGAAAAAAAAGTGTTCACGTGCAGAGAAATTAAGAAAGCAAATGTAGTAAAAACGATAACAACTAGTGAATAAAAGTGTCCACTGTACTATTTTTGCAGCAATTCTGGAAGTCTGAAGTTGTTTCAAAATAAAAGTACAAAAGTACAATAAAATAAAATGAAACTGCCATAAAAAGAAAAGGTAAGGATGGCCATAGAAACAGAGCTAGCCACTACTTCCTTAGACCAGAATTCTACCTGCAGGTCCGTTCTGAGCCCCAGCGGACTCACCAGCCCTAACTACAATCAATATAAAGAACCACTGACACCTTCCGCCTGACAAAAAACAGTTTAAGCAAAAGCACACATACTTGAACAGAAACTCTGCGGCTTGTTCATTTGGACACCAGTCAGGAAGACTGAGCTTTACTCTGAAGCGTTCACCTAGATAGTTAAGGACCTGTTTTTGTGTGGAACAACCCTCTTCCATGACGATCCTTAACATCTGAGAAACAGAGTTCCTAAAGAAAGAGTTCTCCTCTTTGCCTTTGATGAGCTCCTGAAAAATCTGATAATCGGAGAAGTTGACAAGTGCCTAGAACAGAAAAAAGTTTTCTTTTTAATTGCTTGTAATAACTAAACCATTTTACCCATTAGGTAACAATTCTCTATTTTTCTAATACTCAAAAAAATTAGCACTCCACTATTGGGGAATCGAAATGAACTCTCCGAGATAAGGCCTGGCTTGTATGATAAGAAGACGTCAAGATGGCCCCAGTGATCCTCCCCTTCTGGTACTGTATAGCCTCCTCTCACACTAAGTCAGCGCTGGCCCGTGTGACCAAGACAATATGGTGAAAAAGTAGACGTGTGACTCTCAAGGACAGGTCACAGAAGGGACTGTGGGTTCAGCCTTGCTCTCTTGGCTAGCCCTCTCGGGGAAGACAGCTACCTCAAGCAGCCTGTGCAAAGGCCCACTCAGAGGAACTGGGGCCTCCTGCCAACAGCCCGCACTGACGTGCCAGCCATGAGCGACCCCCACCACCTTAGAAGTGGACCCTCCGGCCCTGGTCCAGCCTTCTGAACGACTGCAGCCCCTACTGACATCTCACTGCAATCTCCTGACACCCTGAGGCAGACGTGCCCCCAATCCTAGCCACTTCCAAATTCCCGGCCACAGAAATAGTAAGAGGGAAATATTTACTGATGGTTTAAGCCACTGAAATTTGGGTAATTTGTTATGGAGCAGTGCATAGCTGGTACGCATGAACTCCGCTAACGAGACCCTATCCATCCATTCTGCACAGAATGTGACCCCCCCAGGGAAGCTCTTCATAGCAAAACAAATATATTCATGAAGTCACACCTTAAGTACAAATCCCAAAGGAAGAAAAAACAGTTCTTTCCGATAAATAAAGTTCAACATAACTGTGCCATTTTCCAAGTAGTGAAGGTTCATATTGACTGCAGAATGTTCTTCCCTCACACAGTGCATTGAGACTCCTATTGAAACAAAGCAAGAAGTCAGAAACTCAGTAATACTATAATTGCTTCCATCATTGTTTTTTTCCCTGAATTATTTTTACTCTCTTAAAAATAGAGCCAAATCCCCAAAGTTAGCCAAGAATGGCAACCAAAAATGTTTCCAGACCTTGCCAAATGTCCCCTAGGGTGCAAAATCTCCCTGGGTTGAAAACCTCTCAAAGTAACCAAAGCTACAGAAATTTAATCCAACTTCGAAGTTTCCTTCCAGAGCAGGGTCCATGTCTTATAACACATTATATCGCTAGCACCCTGCAGAGCCTGATCATATAGCATTTTATATCCCTCGTACCCTATGGAATCTGGTCAAGAGATGATGGCTTGATCCAAGAGTTCAAATGGAAAAAAGCAGAATTTTAGATTTTAAGCTTGTTTCAGTGTTAAACAAAAATTGCGAAGACATTCTGCATCAGTGATGGAAAAGAATAAATGACTAGCCATTTTGACTTGCTGAGATGCCATCATTCTAGATACAATATGTATGGCTATCCCATTCGAGGCTGATTTTTAGCTCAATTATTGGAATAAATTATTTAACCGCAGGGTTTCCCAAGAATGTAAAATGTTGTCTTATGAAGCCAGGCACTGTCACAGAGAGTGCTCAGAGGCCAGGTGGCTGTCAGCCAGGGACCCCAAGAGGAATGCCATGGTAGCCTGCACCAGAAGACTTCTGAGGCCCATACCTACCTCTGGTTAAGTCAGGCCAACCTCCACCTTCATAAGTAATACCATAAATACATGTGTTCTTTCAATATGGAAAAAATGATACATAATAGAAAGTAGGGTTTCCCACTATAAAATCTTAACACAGAAATGCTTACTAGAAAAAGAAACAAAACTTTTCTAAGAGAACATTCCAAAAGTCACTACAACTTACCATACTGAGTATAGCCAGGCCCTCTGGTTTTCCATTTTGGTCTTATCACTGCAACAGGGAAATTCCTCCGAGGCATAATCAACATTCGGATGACTTTTTCAATGCCATTGATTATAAAATAACCTCCCATTTCCTGCCAAAGAGACGAATTATAATTTGTTAGACAAAGATACGTTAATTGTAAACATGAAGCTACCTGCCAGATATAGTGCAAAGTGCACAGGAGGCACATGGAGGCGAAAGGGTCTACATATCCCTCGGAAACTGTCAGCGTGTGAACTAACAGTCTTCTCAAGTGCATTAAAAAGGTTCTAGGGACTTGGGAGAAAAGTACGGAAGAAAATCAGGGTAACTTCTTCCACTGGACAGGCTCGACCTAACTTGCCCTTTTGTCCCCTAAAATGATTTGTCTTCAAATGATATTTAAAAGCAAAACAGAACAAAAAAACTTACTCTAAAGAGATGAAAACAATAGCCATTTGCTTCCAGGCAAATAAGGTTTCCCAAATAAGTTAAAAAAACTTTGTACAAAAACTCTGGAAACCAGACATTCAGATTAGCTAAAGAGGAAACGATTTTTCATAGCTCTGGCATCACATTTCTGTAATAAATAAAAAGCTACTACACACTGCCCCACTGTGAAGCAGGCGTAAGCATGCTGGGCTGCTCTGTCTCCACCCCATTTAACCCTCATAATAACGAGTGGCACCGCTGTTATGCCCAGCAGAGGAAACGGAGGCTCAGAAAGATGGAATGTGCCCAAAGCCACATAACTGGTAAGTGGAGCGGCGGGGTGTCAAGCCCAGATCTGATACCATCACCCTCATCCCACCACGTTACACTGTCTCCCATTGCAGGCAGAGTCTGTATTCTTGATCATTTCAACTCAATACTGCAAAACCACTTAACACAGCTAAAAGAGATGCCAAAGAGAAGGCAGGGGAAGCATTTAATACGCTCACACAATCTTACTGCTGGTAAAGCAGACATCTCTAAATGTGTATGCTACAGAAAATTCGGGAAAGTCCTATCAACTCTTCCCCCACAGTAATACTGTTCTCTAACTGGACCACCACTTTTCATACACTGTCTCCTTTGAGCCTCATTCTGAGCCCCGCACAGGATGCACACAAGGCAGCTAGCCCCATTTTCCCCATCCAGAAACGGAAGCAGAGAAAGAAAACCTGACTCCCACTGACACGTGCCGTATCTTCTCACCCCCACCTCAGGCCTTCTCTAGCGTCACCTGGCCTTGCAGTGTACTGGCCACCCGCAGTTACCTCTGCTTCCTCGTGGTGCTCAATGAGGGCTTTGGGGGGAAGGTTGTGTAAGTTGCAAAGCTTAGACTTCACCATGATGGGAACATAGCCAAGAAACTGTTTAATGATTCCTCTGGAGATTCCATTCACTGCCCAGCTGATATCAGCCTAAAGGAAAAGGAGAGAGAAAAAATACTTAAGAAAAAGAAACTATGTGGATCTACAAGAACAAGTATTTTAAAAGAGTAAGGAAGAAGGCCGTAAAGTAAATGATTTTATGCTTTAGATTTAGAAGATGGTATCTCTTTTAGATGACAGTACAAAGAAAGCAGAACTGTGGTATACACTGTATTAGGCATCAGCCTTATTCTCGCAAACATACAGTGTGAGGGTCACATGCTGTCACTTGTACTCACGGTCAGCTTGCCCCGATACGTGCTCCTCCGGCCCCGGCATTCGGCTGGATAAATGTTGAGCTCTTTGCAGATGTTCCCTTTGGGAACCATGGGTGGACTGATGACAGCATCCACGATAGTAAGAGAGATCCGCTCATCTTTGAAAGCAAATTCAAAGGGAGGGATAGCCTGAAATACAATTCACACTATGAACTGCTTGCATTTCCAAGGCCCTCTTTCTGTAAGATTCTTCCAAACCCCACACGTTCTACAAGCACTGATGCCCATCATGCCAAAGGTGACCTATCCAGGAAGATGGTTAAAGCTACACCCATTCTACTCATACCCCAAGTCCCTGAAACGATAATGCGCTACTTCAGATCTTGAGTGTCTACTACATGTCAAATTCGTAGTAGGCTCTAGGGTACAACAGTGTACAGAACAAAGCTGTTCTCTGAACCAAGTGCCTGCCTGCCTGCTCTATTATACCTGGTGTCTGCTAAATACATAGTAAGACAAATGGGACTGTGGCTAACAGGCAAGGATATGGAAACATCCTCCTGATGTAGGACCGGACACTCTAATGCCCTTCTTTGATATTTGTACATTTCATCCCCCGGTGGCCTCACACTGATGCCAGAGCCACACAGGTGGTGGCCCCGGAGGTTTTTCCCATCCCACAACAGCTGCTTCTCTGCACCACTCCCTGGGGAAGCTCTGCTGTTCTGAGTAAAGGGTATCATTGAGCTCTCGTACATATCAACTGTGAACAACCTCCTAGCCTTAGCGTTAGAATAAAAATGCCAAAAATGGAGCCAAGAGTATAAAGAAGGTTCTTCTCCTCATGTCCGTTCAGTCGACCTTTTCTAAATTTTAAAATTGTATCTAAAGCTGGTATTGTTTTAGAATGTATTATTTTATTCTAAAATGAAATTTTAATCTGTCCTATTTAAGGAAGAAGCACTAATTTTTTTTTAAAGATTTTATTTATTTATTTGACAGAAAGAGACACAGCAAGAGAGGGAACACAAGCAGGGGGGCAGTGGGAGAGGGAGAAGCAGGCTCCCCGCCGAGCAGGGAGCCCAATGTGGGGCTTGATCCCAGGACCCTGGGATCACGACCTGAGCCGAAGGCAGATGCCTAACAACTGAGCCACCCAGGTGCCCTGAAGCATTAATTTTTAGAAGGGAGAAGATTCACTTTTTCAAGCCACAGGTGCACTATCTTTATCTCAATACAGTCTCATTACTTGAGATAGTTATGGTCTATAATGTTGCCACAAACACTGAATTAGTGAATACTGAATCACTGTTCTTAGGGGAAATACAAAGTTAGGTTCCTGTGAGTCTCTGATCACACTTCATCAAATGATCAATACATAACCTTGTTTTAAGGATACCTTATTCAGTATATATTGGTTGTTGTTTTTTTTTTAAAGGTTTTATTTATTTGAGACAGATACAGAGAGAGAGAGAGAGCATGAGCAGGGGAGAGGCAGAGGGAGAGGGAGAAGCAGGATCTCCTCCGAGCCAGGAGCCAGATGTGGGACTCGATCCCAGACCCCAGGATCATGACACGAGCCGAAGGCAGATGCCCAACCATCTGAGCCACCCAGGCACCCCTCAGTATATATTTTTGATTCATTCACACTGAACTCACAGCCAACAGCACTAACTCATGACTGAACAAAGGTTATCTAACACAGATTTTCTCTTAAGGAGTACGTCACAGCCTTTCTGCACTTGGAACATTAGACAGCACTTCAGCACTGTTTTTGAGGACCATCTTAAACAGTGAAATCACCAAGAAAAAGCACCAGAATGAGAAAAACTGGACAGACTTTGAAAAAGATACTTATAGGGCACCTGGGTGGCTCAGATGGTTGAGCGTCTGCCTTCGGCTCAGGTCATGATCCCAGGGTCCTGGGATCGAGTCCCGCATCGGGCTCTCTGCTCCTTGGGAGCCTGCTTCTCCCTCTGCCTCTCTCTCTCTCTGTCTCTCATGAATAAATAAATAAAAATCTTAAAAAAAAAAAAAAAAAGATACTTATAGTCTGGGAGCTTGAAACAAGAAAGCAGAGAATCACCTTCTTGGACCTCAGTTGGGATGAAGCACATGGGGCAATTCAAATTTTTCACCACTCTGCACATGGTAAATATTGATTTGGGGGTTACAAATAAATTTTAGTGAGTAGGCAATTCACAAATATGAATTCCTGAAAAATGAAAATCGACTGTATTCTGAAAAGATGACTGTGAGGCATCAATTTGGACTCAAAGAATGAAGGAACCCATCCCCCCGCCCCCTGAATTGAGCAAACCTCTAAACAAAAATATGACAAAAGCTATTCTTCCTTCATTTACTTTACTGTGTTTTCTGTAACAACACTTTCACTTAGTCTGATGGTACCAGCTAAGCTGCAGCATCACTGTTTGTGCAGGCTATGCTTTCTACATGTACTTCAATCAAAACAGGGTATCTTAAGACAGAGAATACAGAAGCAGAAATGGGAATCCGGCTGTCTTCTAATAAGCCAGATATTTAAAAGATAACGCAAAAATATCATTTACGTTTAATTTTTTCTGCTTTAGAAAAGAAAGATTTTTAAACCACAGCACTAAGTTTTATCAGGGATTTCATTAAGGTTAAATCTCTAGAAATAAGGGGGGGTACAAAGCTGATGAAGCCTCCTCAAATCTCATAAAGAACCACCAGCTCCGGCTCTTTGGTGGAATTGCCCCCTTGTTCCATGTACAGATTAGTATAAGGATATTGCTTTGGCCCCATGCGCTGGTAGGTGGGGTAAGTTTCCCCAACCCAAAACATGAACACCATGAAGACCACGAAACCCAAGAGGTGCTTACACATGGGATTTCAGGAAACAGGCATGAGGGATGTGTCCACAAGTTTCCTGATACACATGTCAAGGTTCCAGTGCATTGGCTCACCCAAGTTCAACCTCAGGTCTGGGTGGTCCCAGTCATACCATGGACCCCTCTCCTGCCATGAGTGGTCAGGGAGCTTCGGATAGTTGCCACACCCTATGCTGTCATCTGACTGGTTGGTAGTCTTCCACCCCCATATTATACTTCTTGGTGATAGTGGCCGGTTCTTGTGGGGTCTTGGGATAGGGTCCCAGGAGCACGTCCTTGGTAATGTGGGAGGCTGTCTGTGCACCCAACAACACCAGCTGCCCTTTTGCAGCCATCAGACTCCCAGGACCCACACCCTGATCGCCGCCATCTTCACCTTCCTCCCCAAAAATATTTTTATTAAAAATGTTAATATATAATTGGTTTATCTTTTAAATGAATTAGTGTTTTAAAAATTTCTCAATTTTAACTTCTAATAGAGTAAATACTGATAAACAAAAGCTGTTCAGGATCCCTCAAGAATTTTAAGAGTGGGAGAGGGTCCTGGAGCCAAAAACTTTGAGAACTGCCAGTCTATATATCACTCCTCATAAAAATTCTTATGTGCATGTGCTTTTGTATTTTAGAGAAAGCCTTCCTTGATCATCTCAACCCCGGACTCTTTTTTTCACCATTTTAATAAACCCCAGTGCCAATTAACCTTTAGTTAGATATGGTTTTCCTCACAGATACAAATATTTCCCATCAGCCTCATCTTTTGCCAAAAGGTGAAGGAGTATTAATTAATCTTCAAAGAAACCTCAATGGCTCACATATTATTTGGAGAGTTCAAGTATCAGAAACTGGCAAAGCTCTCCGTTATCCCTATTTCTCACAACACAAATCCTTCCCAACAAACCCACACAATAGTGTCCCCTGAGCTGCGCTCTTTCACTTCCCCTGGAGGGAATGCACTCCCCGCCCCCCCTCCGCCTTCAATTCATCTCACCCCGCCTTTTCTCAAGCACCTGGACTAGCCGCACCTCCTATGTGCTCCCCAAGTACCCTGCACTCTGCTTGGCAGAGCATTTCTCAAGAGTATTGGCACTGCTTCCATGTCTCCACCACCTCCACTCCACTTGCAAAACATGAGACCAAGCACTCAAAAGCAAGAACTGTGTCTCACACAGGACTGCCTCTTCCTCACCCGCAGAGCCTAGTACCTGGAGACACTGGCTATGCTGACTAAATGAGACACGACCTCGCCCGCCACCACCTCTTCACTTGAACTCTGCTACCATATCCTTTAGATCAATCCCTTAATGTTGAGCAAGTGTTACTGCTACTCAATCTCGCTTCTTTGCTCATCTGTATCTTCCTCAACACCCACCTACCTAATTCAGAACAGGCGTCCAGTAGTTTCTCCCGTTAAAGCTCTGAGAGAAGAAAACCGTGCAAGGATGACCTCCCACAGTACAGTCTATGTGCGAATAGGCTCAGAACCTTTTCGGGTAAGTTTCTCGGAGAAGTAAAACTCCCAGTGATACGAAAGCGCGTGCGCTGTGAATGGCTGGGAAGCACACCAACCCGGGGCACTTCCTCACTCTCACCGCACGCTGAAACTGTCCTACGAAACACTACGGTTCCCATCACAAACACATCTAGTATTCCCCTAGTCGACTCGACTACAAGTGCCAGGCCCCGGCGCGGGGTCTGGCGCGATCAAGGGGTACAACTATTTGGGATTATATTGGGACCTTCCAGCCATCTCTCTGGGACCCCTACCCGAGGCCAGTGCCCCACTCCGCCCAGGCCCCACTCACCCCCGCCTCCTGGATCTCCCTCTCCCTCAGCGCCACACACGCATCCTGCCACCAGCCTCCCTCCCCCAGCCCCGCGGGGCCCCTCTCCTCTGCCCGCCTCGAGCTTCGCCTCGTCGCGGGCCGCGCAGCGGGGAAGCGGCGCCACGGAACGCAGAGCCGACGGGAGCCTGGGAGGACGCCGCGCTCACCTGCACTGCGTGGCTGAGCCCCTCGCGCACAGCGTAGTTGAAGGACTCAACATGAGCCCGAGTCAGTTCCTGCAACGCTGGCTTTTGCTGTTCCCGCGGGACCCCGTAAGACGGGTCAGTTAAGTGCTTTAGGCTAGGCCCGCTGGGCAGATTCTGCCACCGGCCGGCGGGATCCATGCGTCCGCCTGCACACCAAGAGCCAGCTACCGCTCCGCACGCGCCGGGAAGAAGGGCAGGCACGCCGGCGCCCACAGCCTGCTGGGAAATGTAGTTCCTCTGGTTCCGCCGGACCTTGGCCCTTCGACTTTACAGGGTCGACTTGAAAACCTAAACCATGGAATGAATGGGCCGGTCTAAAACTGTACAGAGCCAGAGCGCGGCCGCCCCACCCACTCCCCCCTCCGCGGAAGGCAGGCAGAAATCCGCTTCACGTCAGCTCCACGTCCTGTTCAGCCTGTGATCTGTTTGGCATTTATTCGCGCAGTCGATTAGGCCTGGAGGAGGGTGGTCTTCAGAGATTCCTTCCCCTCCTGTTCCCCTTGATCATTTTCCGATGCTGATACCTGATGCTGACCCTGACTTCTGGAAAAAAGCAGATGTTGGCCACCAGACCGACTGCCCACACCTCACAACTCTTAAGTTGTGAAGACTTCACTGCGATGGTGAGGGAGTGGTCTGTCCTCGCTACCGCTCTCCCCACATCTAGACCGGATTCCTGGGGGGCCGGGAGGCCCGGACATCCTAGGGGACTTCCAGCCTTAAGATCCTTTGAGTTTCGGGGCGCCTGGGTGGCTCAGTCGTTAGGCGTCTGCCTTCGGCTCAGGTCATGATCCCGGGGTCCTGGGACCAAGCTCCCTGCTCGGCGGAAGCCTGCTTCTCCCTCTCCCACTCCCCCTGCTTGTGTTCCCTCTCTGTCTCTGTCAAATACATAAATAAAATCTTAAAAAAAAAAAAAAAAAATCCTTTGAGTTTCCATGAGTCCTATGAATCACTTATCCCCCCAGAATATGGGTTTATCAAGGAATGCCTGCAAATGTTTTCCAACTTCATCTTCTATGTTTGTATTTAACAGTTGTATTCTGTATTGTGGTATAATTGACATAAAATAAGCCACACATTTAAAGTGTGCACGCTGATAGGTTTTGACCTATGTATACACCCGTAGAGCCACTACCACAATTAAGATAATGAATTAATCCACCAATCCTAAAAGTGTCCTCCTGCCCCTTGGGAATCCATCCGTTCTGTCAATCTTACCTTTACCTACGTCAGATGGTAGTTTTCATTCCTATATCACTTTTAAATGTTATCTTCTGTTTCTATCCAATGCTGACACCGTTAAACCTTTCAATAATTTTAATTTTTTAAAAAGTAGTATCTATATCCAAAGTGGGGCTTGAACCCATGACCCTGATATCAAGTCACACTCTCTACCAACTGAGCCAGCTAGGACCCCTGATTTCAGTAATTTTTTTTTCAAAGATTTTATTTATTTGAGAGCGAGAATGAGATAGAGAGAACATGAGAGGGGGGAGGGTCAGAGGGAGAAGCAGACTCCCCGCTAAGCAGGGAGCCTGATGCGGGACTCGATCCAGGGACTCCAGGATCATGACCTGAGCCGAAGGCAGTCGTTTAACCAACTGAGCCATCCAGGTGCCCCTTCAATAATTTTTAATTTACTGAGTCATTAAGGTCTACCATATGGTTTATTCCAGAGAATGTTCCATGTGTACTTGAGAAGAATGTATTTTGCTTTTGTTGGGTGGAGTTATCTATATTTGTTAGATCTAGTTGGTTTACAGTGTTTTCTATGTCCTTGGTGATCTTCTGACCAGTTCTTCAATTACTGAAAATGGGGGACTGAAAATTCCAACTATCGTTGAATTGTCTATTTCTTTCTTCAGTTCTGCCAGTTTTGCTTCATGTATCTCGGGGTTCTGTTGCTAGGTGCATATGTTTATAACTGTTCTATCTGCCTGACGGATTAATTTTTTTACCATTATAAATGTCCTTCTTTGCCTGTAGTAACATTTTTCTTTTCTTTTTTTAAGAGACAGAGAGCATGCACGTGAGCTGGTGGGGTAGGGGGTGGAGTCGCAAAGGGAGAAAGAGTCTTAATTAAGTAGGCTCCACACCCAGCGCAGAGCCTGATGTGGGGCTCGATATCACAACCCTGAGATCATGACCTGAGCTGAAATCAAGAATCAGACACTTAACTGAGCCACCCAGGTGCCCCACATTTTTTTTTTCCTTAAAGTGTGTATTTTCTCTAATATTAGTATGGCCACTCAAGGTCTCTAAGCTACTATTTCCATGATATATATTTTCCATATTTTTACTTTTACCTATTTGTGTTTTGGGATCTAAAGTATGTCCCTATAGACAGCATAAAGTTGGATTATGTTTGATTTGTTTTTGTTATTTTGCCAGTCTCTGCTTTTTTGGTTGTAGTATTTAATCCATTTAATGAAATTACTGGTAAGGTAGGATTTATGTCTGTCATTTCGGTATTTGTTTTCTATATGCTTTCTATCTACCTTCTCCGCTTTTTTATTACCTTGTCTCTTTTACTATGTATTTAGAGTTATTATCTTAGTGGTTGATGTGTCTTGGTGTGGATCTCTTTGAGTCTATCCCACTTAGAGTTTGTTGGAGTTCTTGGATGCATTTTAATGTTCTTCATCAAATTGGAAAGTTTTTGGCCACAATTTTTTCCAATATGATTTCTGCCTCCCTCTCTCTTCTCTTCTAGGACTCCTGTTATGTATATGTTGGTATACATATACATTTCTGGAGCACTGTTCATTTTTCTTCATTCTTTTTCCTTTTTTCTTAAGATTTTATTTATTTGAGAGAGAGCACGTGTGTGCATGAGCAGGGGGGAGGGGCAGAGGGACAGGGAGAAGCAGACTCCCTACTGAGCATCGTCCTGGGATCAGGAGCTGAGTCGAAGGCAGATACTTAACCGACTGAGCCACCTCAGAGGCGCCCCTCATCATTTTTTTTTTTTTCTGTTCCTCAGACTGGATAATCTTAATTGATTTCATATTTGATTCCTTCTTTTGCCAGCTCAAAACTGCTTTTGAACACCTCTACTGAATTTTTCATTTGCATTATTGTACTTTTTAAAGCCAAAATTCCTACTTGGCTCTATTTTTAAAACGATTTAGACCTCTTTAATGATATTCTCTCTCTGGTGACACATCATTTTCATCATTCTTTTGGTTCTTTAAACATTTTAAATAGCTGAATTAAAGTCTTTGTGTAATAAGACCAATGCCTGGGCTTCTTCAGGGATGGTTTCTACTGATTGCCTTTTCCCTTCACGGGCCATACTTTTTCTTTGCATGTCTCATAATTTGTGCTGAAAATTGGAAAAATTTAATAATATGATGGGGCAACTTTGGAAACCAGATACTCTGTCCTCTCCAGGGTTTATTGTTGTCGTTGATTATTTAGAGTTTCCTGAAATAATTCTGTAAAGCCTATGTTCTTTGATGTATGTGGCCACTGAAGTTTCTGCTGCTAGCTTAATGGTCAACTAATGACTGAACATTAGTTCAATCTAGAACTAATTTCCTTAAACACTTGCACCAGTAAGTCTCCCAGTCTTTGCCAAGGGGCTGTGTGTGTGTGCACATGCCAGGGAGGCTTGTGTAGATTCTCCTGGTCATATATAAGTAAAAACTGAGGGAATTCAGGGGGCCTGGGTGGCTCAGTCTGTTAAGTATCTGACTCTTGTTCTCAGTTCAGGTCTTGATCTCAGGGTTGTGAGTTCAAGCCCAGTGCTGGGCTCCATGCTACTTAAAAAGGAAAAAAAAAAAAAAAAGCTGAGGGAATTCAGGTCTCCCCAGGCCTGCACATAGCCCTATACATGTGTGTGGCCTTCTATGTTCTTCAGAAACTTTCCAGAACTTCCAATGGATATCTCATTCCCCATCTATTCCTAAGTTTTTTGGTCAGTTTGTTGTTTGTTCCAACTCTTTTAGCCAACTCAGGAAGCTGAGGTTTTAAACAATTGCTGCTGATTATTTTTAACAAACTCACCTAGGGAAAAGGTTGTTCACAGTGGGCACACTTTGAGCAATGTCAAAGACAAGCCCTGAGATGAGGACTTATATGGAACTGCCATACAGGTCAAATAATGACAATTCACCGGGAATGGGGCTTTTTGGAGGAGCTCCAAACCCACTCTGTACCCTCCAATTGTTGCTAGACTCCTGGATTTTACCATGATTATGGGGCTTTTCATTTCCAAGGCTATCCTGGAGCTAGGAAAAGGGGGATGAAAATAGGGTGAATTAAAACATCACAAAACGTGCTATTCTTACCAAGGTGGAACCACTTTTCTTTAATAAATGTTTCTGGATTGTTGCAAGCCTCTGGTTAATTTCTAGACAGTTTTTGCCAGTGTTCCCATCGCTTTCATGGAGAGAGGATTTTCAGAGGTTTTACCCTGCTGTTCTTACTGATGTCCTCTCATGTGAATTTTGAAAAGGAATTTTGCTTACAGCCCCTGGGACAGGGGCTCACTTTCCTTTGACCTTAGGGATGTTTTGTGGGAGACATCTTTAAAATATCACTGAATCTCTGGGGCTATGGGATAATCTCAGGTTCTTTAAGGAGAAGGGGCAGCTACTGACAGCAAGCAGGACCAGCCGCGAAGAGAAGTCCTCTGAAGGCTTTGAACCTTTCCGCTGTCAGGATTCTAAGTAGTTTCCTGCTTGGGTCCCGTCTGCTTGTCCCTGCACCCTGCCCATGCAAGCTACACTGAGTCTGGTAAGTGTGTATCATATCATATCAGAAACCTGTCTGGAGTGCTTAAGCCAGGGTTTCCATCTGTGGAAGGCCTTATCTCTGTGCCAGAAGTATGTTTATGGAGTGAAAGCAGCCATACATGGGGAAGAAGTCCAAAGCATTCAGCCTCTTCACACAGGAAGTTACAAGTTAACTACAATTTACATAAATGACACTAAATGCCTGAGGTGTGTGAGACTTACAGGTATTTATATACGTGGTCTTAGTGAACTCTTAGGACTTCATGGCCTTCTGGCTGAATGCAGAATCATTTCAGAAGCCCCTCTACCTACTCCCCATGTTTGAAGCACTCATAATGCTTTCTCACAACCATGGGTCTCACCTGACCATCTGTATCATGATTCAGACAACACACAAGACATGTAAGAGATGGATTGGATTTTGGCAGCGGAAATTATTTCAGTGCTTCACCTCAGAGGAG